TGGCACGCCACGCCGCACCTGGTGCGAAGTGTTTCGGCACCGCCTTTCTGAGAGGGATCTGCCCAAGAGCCCAGCCAATATCCGCAACTGATGGAGTGGCTGTGCATTCATGGAACTCATGGTCCCATTGATCCTGGCCACCTTGGAAAATGTTCTGAAAGTGCTCACGGAGTCTATCCGCTTCATCAACCCGACTCAGGATTTCACCATCGGTGCCATAGATCTTCACCCTGCGAAATGGTTGTTTGGGTGCAAGTTGTCGAATGATTGCATACAGCTTATGGGTGTTATTCTGCGACGCAAACCTCTCAGCTTCGATCAAGAGATGCTCAAAGCGCTGCTTGCGTGCCTGCCTCGAACTGCGGTTCGCTTCACGGCGCAATGCTCGAAATCTAGCAAAGTGGTACCAAGCCCGCCATGCACTGGAAAGGTGGGTAGCCGCCTGTTGCCGGTACAATTTGCCCAATTGCAAGTGCCTCCACCTGCTACGCACAATCTGCTGAACTTCATCTGTTTGGTGAGCGTACACCCGCCTAGCTGGAACCGCCGGAAAGAATTGCACACAGTTCTCATAGAGCACCTGGTGGAGGTCCAGTGTGCTCGTGATCACTTGAGTTTGCAATTGTTGCCTTACTGCATCTTGGAACGCATGCAGCTGGGGCGTGTGCCACTGGACCGCTTGTGCCAAAGCATCTGTGTCCACACGCCTACTGGCAGTTGTGCGGGCTTTAGGCTGCCACCGATAGTCAAGAACAACGGCTAATGGCCTATGCAGGCCCGACTGCCGCCAAGCAGTAACCGGGAACGCCTGGAGAGGCTTGCATTGTCGCATGCGATTCGTAACCTGGTGCCGCCGGGCAAAAATGTAGTCGAGTTGAGTGCGATGCTCCTGGTGTTCGAAGGTGAACGCCTGTCTGCGCGGACCTGACCAGGTGTTGAGGGCTACCAAGTGCCTAGCAATCATAACGTCCGTGAGTGCCTCCATGTCTGGTGCTGATTGGCGTTGTCCTGCCACATGCACCGTGCTGTTGCCGACCATCCCGGGTGAAGGAGCAAGCTGCACATTCCAGTCACCGGCACAAACACAGACGTTGCGCCACGGAACCTGCTGAAGACATGTGTCGACCCTGTCGAGGATCCTGGCGCGTTTGCGCCGAAGTTCCGCAGCGTCTGCTCGCTGATCCCAAGCATGCTGATACACATTGATAACATCAAGGCAGCTGGCACCTCCCGGAGCCGGGATTCGCGTATGAAGTACCCGGCCTGGGACAACTTCACTCGTTCGTATGTCCTCTGCACTGCACAAGTCCTTGGATATAAGCGTCATGACCCCGGACCCTTTCTGTTTACTGTGTCCCGAGTGCACGATGAACCAGTTGTCGTTCTCCCATTCAGAGCTAAACTGCCACCTAGTTTCCTGAAGCAAGATGATCTTGATATTGCGATGCTGGGGGAGGGATAACCAAATGAGGAGTTCATCAAGAATGGGGTTAGACAGACCCCCAACATTCCAACAAAGTAAGCAAACATCTGAGCCATGCGTGTCAAGTGTGGAGCGGCGCCTTGTCTGTGAAGTGGCTGCCCCTGTCTCGTCTCGACCTTGCATGCCGGCCAATTGTTGCAAACTAAGGGTGCGTCCTCTATACCTGGTGACTCCCTGGGTCTGCGCACGAACCATCGCGCGCTTGTAGGCTCGTTTCCTGGCTTGAGTAAAAACTGGCTGGGTTCTAATGTCTGATGTCCCACATGGCTTCGCCGCCTGATGCGACTGCCTATTTGGATCCGGCTGTTCTCGGACTCCAGCTGCCGGAGTGGAATCGACAGCAACCCTCGCACTCATAGCAGGTGTGACGCAAGTCAGCGCGATGCAAATCATCATGAGCCATGTGTGCGCTGCAAAACCGAAGTGAGGCCTGCGTCTTCTGCTATCCTCGGATTTGGGACCGAGGCGACTCCTGCTGTTGGCATCTGGGTGTGGGGTGTTGGCATCAGGAGGGTGATTCGGGTAGTGCATGGCTGCGTGCCTGGGCTGATAGCGCATCTCTGATTTCCAATGACACAACCGGAGTAAGCCAATGCAAGCAAACCAAAACAGTCTGATAAGACCAATACAGGTGTGTATGACAATGATCAGTCCTCTACGCTTGCCGAAGGGAACGCACATCCAGTCTCTGGCCATGCACACTGCATTGAAGCGCTGTCCGTCTGGAAGCGCGCGCACGCGCGCTGCAACACTGTCACACTGTTGTGCTTGCACATGGGGCTGCTGCACAAAGGATGTTGGTTCAGTTATGCTAATCAGCCTCAAAATAAAGCACCGTGGCATCGGACTCAGCTTCCGAGGCGGCATCTGCAACAGAGGCCCCGGGGGCCGCTTCATCTGAATCTGATACAATGATAACCTCGAAGGGGCCCGAAGTTTCGGCCGACTGTTGGTACCCTTCCAGCTGTGCAAGACGGTCTGGCTGCATCCGCGCTTCAAGTTGTGCAATTTCGGCATCAATTGCCGGCAGTAGCAAGGAATACACTTCTTCAAGGTAGGCTGTTCGATACTCGCCGTCCAGAAGCATACAGAAAACTTCAAGCACATGTCTTGCATCCCGACCCTGCACCTCGCTCTGGATTTGATCGAAGACTTCAGTTCTCGTTGCTGCGCAATGCTCATGTTGACGGAAGTAGCAACTGATGCCCGAGTCAACCAAAGCCCACAGTGGGAACTGCACAAGTTGTACGATGTAAACCAGGTATGCAATGTCGAGGCTCTGTGCTGGAGTCCCTGATCGCGTTGTCTCTCCTGCTGCCGCTGCTGTGCCTCGTTCTCTGCCCGTCTGTGTATGGTCCATGACGTAATGCCAGAGATGCAAATGCTCAGAATAAGCGCAAGCCCTCCAAAATTCAATCGCATTGACAGAAAAGCTGCAGTGCTGTGTCAACCTGGCAGAAAACTGATCGTCTCAATGGTGGAGCAACCAAGTTAACGCACGATGTGAGCAGCAAAACCGTCAGTTGCAGATAAAGGAGACTCCAGAGGCACCGACAGGGCTGGAGCTCCAATGGCACTACCCCCACTACGCACACCAAGGGACGGCCCTCGATGTCCTCCAGTGCTGGCCGGGGGCGCCCAGACACCAGCACTGGGAACTGCCAAAACTACCCCGCCCCAAAACACTACAATTGTAAACGGCGTTGCCATGGAGGATGTATAATCTCCTATTTAAATATAACGTGATTATAACGTGAAACAAACGTGCATGGCCTGGTGCCAAAAACGTAAAACAAACGTACCAAAAACGTGACAAAAAGCTAGGTTTAAACCGATTTATATATGCTTTCCTTAATAAAGAGTGAAAGTAAGGTGTATGGATACTATGTGTCCTTATAGTAGAAAGCGATTATTTAATGAGTATTAATAGCTTCATAAAAACGATCGGCAAGGAATAAACTGAAATCGTAAATGTGGTAAGCCTAAACTAAGTACTCTTTACTCGAGCTACTGTATGAATGCAAGGGTTTGTTCGTCAGACTCAAAAATGCCTGCAATATCAGCACTCTTATCAGGAGATGGTGCTGCGAGATTCGGTCGCCGATGTGTTGACATATTTCTGGGTTCTAGCAGATTCTAGCAAGTAACATATCGAAAGCGGTCAATCTATCGGAAAATTAAGAAATATATAAATGACTCCGTGTGTAAATTTCATATACAAATATACACTGTAATATACAATTATTTGCAAAAAGGTCTCACCAATCAATTATTCACACGCATCAAAACTGTCCGGCTGTCCGATGTCCTACATGGGTCCAACATGCATCAAGTCCTCAACAGCCGGAGCTGAAAGAAGTGTAACTTACGCCACTCACTAATCACAGTCACTAGCTAGCTGCCACTCGCTCTCAGTTGTCATTAGCCCGACACCGACTATTGTTTCGGCGCATGCGTTGTCACTAATCACTAGTCCCAGTTTTGGAAATGTCGCGAAAAAACTCCCTCACTCGCTCGCTCGACTTACTCACCACGGCACCGGCTCCCCCCCCTGCCCGTCACCCCCTCTCTCTCTGCCTCTCTCCCTCCCTTGCTACTTCAGTCCACCAAACTTGTTCTGTCTGGCTCTCTCTCGCTTTGCTTCCTGCGTTTATTCGAGGCAATGGACACCTGAATCACTGTTTCGACATTGTTTGGGAAGATGGGACCGACATGTTCATGTGAGCTATCGTTGCTGCAATGCCAAATGGTCATTGTCATAATGGCCCATAATGACCCGAAATGGCCGTAATGATTGCGCCACGCCTTCACACCCCATGGGTGGCAACATCTGACATATGATAAGAATAGCTTCGTAGCACGACGCAGAACAAGCTCTTTGTCGCCTCAAGCCGAAAGCCTTTCTCAAGTCTGAAAAATTGTAGTTCGCTACGTTCGAAGACGAATGACACCACCGGCCACCGCTGAGCCGCTGACTGAAGCAGAAAGATTTGCTGAATCTGGAGCTTTCGATCTGCACTCTAATCAAATCTCACAAGCTGTACAACTCCTACAAAACCTGGGATGACAAGGTAAAGGCTTACAATCTTTTAACCAGCATACCTAGAGCCTAAGACCAAGGAAAAAGGACATTATAGCCTAAACCCTTAAACTCCAAACCCAAACCTATACTGAGCTCAGCCCCTGAGCATGATCCTTTGATGCGGCTATTGACAGCACATCGCTCCACAAGCCCGGCTAAGAGCGATTAACCTTAGAAGTTTGAACCTGGGCCTGGACTCCTAGACTCAAAAATGAATCGAGAATGCTACTCTGCTACTCTGCTAGTTACTAAACGTGCTGCTTCTGCTACTGCTATTGTTGGCACGGCCAGCGGCAACCATGGCAGCTGTCCTAATCGGCTGCGACCGAGCAAGCTGAGCAAACTGAAGCTCGCTGACAGAAATCTTTAAAAGGATCTGGCCGGTCTCTTCTCAGGATCCACAGGCCCTGCACAACTCGCAGCTCTTCAACTGCGTCAGCCCAGGATCCGGCGACCCTCAGCCAAAAGAGTTTTCTCCACACGCGCTTCGTCGACGAAGTCACCTGAAATGCGTCCTGACACTTCACCAAGAATGGACTTGGCAATGGCCTGGTTGGTATGCTGGTTGGCATACCACAACAAGGCCTCGGCACCCAACGCAGCCATCGCCTTGCCATCCTCTGACAGGGCTGTGTAGTCGCCGGTCGTCAATGCCATAATCTCGTCCTGCATGCCAAAATGCTTCAAGTGAGGACCATACCTTGCGTGTACGGTCTTGATGCCGAGCAGGGCCTCGGCCACGAATCACGGAAAAGCGAATATCTGATATGTCCAGTAACCAGTACTGACACATGTTACACATGTTGTCAACGTGCTGCGACTGATGAGGAAATTAACCAAACTGGACTCTGGACCTCCCTTAAGGTTTAGGGCCTATAGGGCTTAAGGCTTAAGGCTTAGGCTTAGTCAGTCTGGTTTCAAGGCTTATGTCAAAATTGAACTTCCAGGTCTTTGAGTTAGCCCTAGGCCCTAACCCATTTAGGCGACGGCTAGCGGCTAGCGGCTAGGGCCAGGGCTAGGGCTAGGGCCAAGGCCGGCCAGGGCCAGGGTGCATCGGACACATCCAAAAGTACCAATACTCCAATACCAGAAACCAAACCTGCTACCTGCTGCTACTGGCCTGCTGTTGATGCTGCTGCTACTGCTACCGCTGCTACCAGACTACCGGGGTACCTAGCACCTACGTGGAGGTCTGAGTCTAGGTCTAGGTCCTAGGTCCTAGGTGTCAGTGTAGGTTTAAGTAAGTCTATGTAAAGTCTGAGTCCAGGTCCAGGTGATTGGTTGATTTCCACAATGTAATAATAGATTCTATTATTACATTATTACATTGTGGAAATCAACCAATCACCTGGATTTAATAGATCTTAACGTAATCATACAGTCATACATACAACGTCATACAAACTTCTTTCTACAAACCCGGCCTTCTCGATGTGCGCGATCTTCTCCCTCAAGGCCGATCCATCCACGGAGCCGAAGATACTGGCAGCTGCATCCATGACCTGCTGAAGGGAGGGGTTCTCCGGCAGCTTGTCCTTCCACCCGGCAACCACTGTCCAAGGCTTCTCGGCTTTTGCCGCATCCTGGCCCTTGCCCTTGTCCTTGTCGCCCGGGGCTTCGCACAGAAGCTTCCGGGCCTCCTTGAAGTCCGATTTGCAGGCCTCCAGCTGCTTCGAGATCAGGAGCTGCAACGCTTCTGTGATCGCTTCGGTCGGATTGTCTGCCATGGACCGGGCTGTCTCGCAGCACGCATGCTCGAGAGCAAGAACCAGATCCACCGTGGTGGGGGGAGCATCATCCTCTTTCCCAGGCTCAGCTTCATCCGCGAAGACGGCGCCGGCCTTCGATGCTGCCAAAGTTGCCAGGGACTCGTTCTCCTTCTTGCTCTTGGCCGCCTTGATGCGAAGGGAAGCCACTGTCTTCAGGGCAGCATCCAATGACATCCGCTCGCTGTCCTTTGCATCCCTCTCTTTGGCGTCACGGCCAAGTTCCTGGAACCTTCTGCATGCCTGGCCATGGGATAAGCAATCCTCCAGCAGCTGGAGCTGCTGCAACAACCACTGCCTAGCAGACAGTGCCATCGGAACTTTCTGGAACATCCCCTTGGCGGTTGCGACCTCCTTCCGAGCTTCGTGAATCAAGGGGGCCCTGGAGCATCCACCCTCCACCTGCCCGACACAGGACATGACATGTATCACTGTATTGACATGAGTATTTCGTCATATTATTTGTTTCTATAGGACCATAGTTACTACAGTTACTATTATAGTTTGCTTTCGTTACCATGGTTACTATACTATAGCCAGTGACAAGAATGGTAATTATGATATCGATGATAACTATAGCTGTACTATAGCTCTGATGGCAATGACACCATGAATTGTGTTTGACACCAGCAAACAGCAAATCCGATATTGAACCGATAAAGATCTTAGTACACAGACACATACGGCCACACATACATACACCCACATGGTCATTCACTTAAGTACGCACACGTACAGGAACTCTGCTGACCTAGGACCTAGACCTGGACCTGGACCTAGGCCATGACTGTGACTTCAAATGCACACACGCACACACATACACTGACATACACACACACACATACACACACGCACGCACACACACACACACACACACGAGCCACATCCACCCACCCAACCCACCGCACAGACACGAAGATAATACGGAGAGACAAACACCGCTGACTGAACGAACACATGCATTCATGGACACCCAGACAGACACCCAAGAAAACACGACAACAACAACAACACTAACTAGCAGGTACGAAAACAAACACAAAATCAAAAACACACACACACACACGTCCTTACGCAACGAAACCTTTCGGCGGTTGCCATATTCTTCCGGGCACTCATAAGTGTGTCACAACTAGGCCACTAGTCACTAGTCACTACTCACTAGTCACTAGTCACTAGACCCAGGCCCCTAGGCCCTATGCCCTATGCCCTGTGTTGCCCCGCATCACACTGACCTACTGACTTAGTTCGCTCCCCACTCGCGAGACTCCAATGAGTATCATTTCCGGTGCTAACAGCAATAGTTATGTTAGTAAACCAACAGTTGCAAACTCAGAATCACAGTCTGTGGCTGTGGGCCTTGAGATGCACAGTCTGCAAAGTAGCCATCAGAACGTGCTGAAGGTTGATGCCTTCCGCCTCCTCGCTCTCAAGATCCACGGTTTGGAGCACTCCCCAAGCAGCAGCAATATCAAATTTGCCATGCTCGGCCGTCGTGGCCGATTGGCACAACTCCTTCAACTTTGCACTCTGCAAAGCTGTCTGATTTGTCGCCTGCCACTGCGCAAACTTGTCGAGGGCTTCGGGGTAGCCGCTCACCGGCTTCCCCACGGCTGGGACTTTGGAAGCCAGCTTCATGAAATCCTCGATCTTCACATCCGCGATCGACTTCAGGTCGCGATCTTTTGCAATCCTCTCCATGAGCAAAGGAATCACACTCTGGATCATGGAATCCAAATCTTGAAGGGCACCCTTGCGGAGGTTGCTCGCCATGTGCTCCCTTTTGCCCAACACCTCGAAGACCAGCTTGCAAGCTGCACCGCAATCCATGCCCGGTTCCTCATCCTTGTCCTCGGCACTGGCATCCTTGATGATCTTGTCCATGTCTGCCAGATACTGTCGGATGACTGGGGCGAACTCTTTGACTGCCGAGCTTACACGCTGCTCCGCATCGAACGCCTCCTGCCAGAAGGAACCCTTCCTGCCAATTGCATTCTTGATCTCGGCCTCCATGTAGTCGGTGCCCGAATACTTGGACAGCACGAAGGCGTCGCGGAAAGTGCAATCCATGTAATTTGGGAGTGGAGCAGCCAAGCAGCAAATGCACTTGCAGAAAGATGTGACTCGCTCAATGCTGCCCCGCATCTGAGCTGGAAAGTCCTCCGGGATGTGGGTCACCTGCGCATTGAGGGCTGTCAGCATGGAGGAGCACACGTCCAGGAGGCGTGAGTAGCTGGACGTGCTCGTTGCCGGGATCAATCCCAGCAGCGTGTCGTTGGCGAAGGCATCCACCCATGCACCTGCCAGTGCCTTGACAGAGCGGGGCCAACCGTGAAAACACAGAAAGGAAACTTAACCTGATTCGTTTGACGATTCGGCCATCCATGATTTCGTCAGAAATCACAGTCTCTATTGCAGTAAAGTTACTAGAGTCACTAGAGTTAGTAAGTAGAGTTTTGATTTTCGCCTGTATGTGTGACCGGCATAGCCGTCAGATTTCGTGTGACCTGGGCGACTCAACCTGCCAGCAATGCCAACAGCAGCTATGGGATGCCCACTTGTTCGTGAAACAACCAGAACTACTAAGGAGCCCGAAAATATATTGGAGAATCGGCCCGCTGAAACATTGGGGGCCACAGGAGACTTGGGCCCGGTTTTCTATGACCACAAATCTCGCTAAAGCCGCTAAAGCTAAAATCCAGCAAGCCGTTTGTTTCGCGATCGGAATCTAGATTCTAGATTCATATCGAACCTAGATGACCTTTTTTTTTTTTGCCATCGAAAGCCGAATTTGGAACAGACAACAGAAAAGAGCGTATCTAACATCGGTCGAATGAAATCTAAAGTGTAACACTGCGGATGACATCGGGCAAGTTTGTGACTGAATTACTTCACCCAGCCGGCCGAGAACTAGAAACAACTAGAACTATACTGCATGAACACAACACCACCATTATCACTATGAAGAGCTCCCCACTGTATGTTTTAACATTGAGCTATTCATCGACTCTTTTGCGACAGCTGTTAAGGGACTTGACTTGCCGCCACGTACCAGCCCAAACTTAGCCCCACGTGTACCAACCCCTAGCCCTATAATTATGATACGACGATACGAGAATACTGCAATAATCTGATGACTTGTAATTGCATTGCCAATCACTAGTCCTACCCGGTCCTACCACCACAAACTTCTTCGTTTACCTCCCAACCCTTTTGAGGTCAGCTAATGAGAAACAAACAGGCCCGGCCTCCCAGCGACTCTCGATCTCTGCATCCACCTCTTCTGCCTGCTCCTTCCCCTTCGGAGTACCCAGGTCTCGAGCTTCCCGGCCCCGACGCTCATCATCTCCTGACAGCTGCATCGCTTCGGTCACCACATGCGCGAAGGTGGGCTTGGTGAAGCTCCACTCCTCCTCCACAGAGCCCTTGCAAAGGATGAGCATCGAGACGATGCCCTGCAGCTTAGCAGCCGCACCATCTGTCACGAAACCCTTCACAGCCTCTGACACTTCGGCAACTGTGACCTTCACCTTGATCAAGAGAGGGATAGCGCTGCCGGTGGCTCCAACAAGGACATACTTGGAAATCCTCTCCTCGTAGGGCAGGGTGGCAAGATCTGCAGTCGTCGCCAAGAGCTGAGCGGCTTGCACAGCTGCAATCCTCCGCGAAAGGCTGCGGCCTTCCTTCGACCCTTCTCCCAGCTTGTCCAGCAGGCGAGTGGCCTCACTGAATCCCCTTCTGAAACACAAGATGGTCGTAGTGCACCGTTCTGGCAAGACCTTTTGCCAGAAGCTTGGGATGCTTAGAATCTAGGCCAGGCTATGCCCAGAAAGGCGCTAGGCTGTGGCTGCAAATTCCCAAAGCGAAGAAGATTGTAAGATATTAAGCAGGATTGGGCAAAATGTACCGCGTACAATATGTTCTAGAGTCAGCTGGGGTGTAAGTGTAGGACGAACTATGTTCTCCGATCGTGAGATCTCTACACCCCCACGGCTCCCTACCCTACCTACATTGGCCCTAGCGGCCCTAGCGAAAACTCAGAGGCCTGCCCTATGTAAGCAACTCCTCGACCAACATCTGAATGCTGAATTACTGAATCATCAAAAGTCAGACAGCTATGGATTTCCCAACGAAATGCGAGAGGGCAGCAAGGCCTCAACACGCGAACCCAACGAAATGCGAGAGGGCAGCAAGGCCTCAACACGCGAACCCAACGAAATGCGAGAGGGCAGCAAGGCCTCAACACGCGAACCCAACGAAATGCGAGAGGGCAGCAAGGCCTCAACACGCGAAACCAAAAGACTTAACAGAACACTTAAATCACTGCAGCGTGTGAGGGCTTGTGGGTGTGTGTGTGTGTACAGTGACTACAGTCGCAGGTCTGTGTGTGTGTGTGGGTGTGTGACTCGACAACTAGAGTAATTACAGTCGTCTAGGTCTAAGTCCAGACCTTAGGTGCGGAGTCGAATGAGAAACTGAGGCACCTACGTGATTCGGAAATTTGTTGCCCGAGTAAAGCTGTGGTATTACATATTCACAGATCGAATCGAGAATCGGGAATCGATTATCTGATTAACATCTCAATTGAGTCAATTGACTCAAGTGACTCAAGTGCCTGTTAACTGTCAACATCGGCAACTGGGGAATGCTACGCTCCATAGACTCATAGACTGTGCCATACATGCCATGGAGTTTGCCTTACACCGTATTGCTTGCAAGCTGACGCAAACTGAAATCAAGGTTTAACAGTTTCGGAGAGAAGTCTGAAAAGTTCAGGGGCCTCTCTGGTTCAGAAATGCATGCTTTGGCAATGGAGACTGCCACACACAAACTATGTATGGAAGTGCACCATGAAACTACGCTCACGAAACTTTGTTGCAAACTGCAAACCACATTGACAGCAGCTTACTCACGCAAGCTCTCTGAGCCACCAGCGCCGGTGCATGCATTGCCCATTTTGGCACCTTCTAGAGCCCGTCGAACTGTGAAGTTGGTCAAGCTGTCGGGAACATTGCCGAGCTTGAGTGCCACTTTGCAAAGCTCGGGGTCGTGGTTGAGGGCAGCCTTGATCTCGTCCTGAGACTGACTCTGGGACTGAGCTTGGGCATCATCCCCACGTAGGCTGCCGGTGGCCCTCTTGGGCGCTTGGGCATCTGCCTTCACACTGGCCCCCTTCTTCCTCTTCCTGGTCAAGCCTGCATCTCTGTCGATCGTTGTCGTTCCCAGCCCAGAGGACAAAGCTCCCTTCATCCGTGGCTCGTCGGAGTCCTCATCCGCGATGTCGACCGGGTTGCCATCATCATCGACTTCGAGCTTGGCGGCCAGCTCCACATCCTTCTTCCTTCGCTTCTCCTCGAGATCGGCAGCCTTCTTGCGCAAGGAGCTGATGGTCGGCATACTTGCCAGAAGCTCCAAAGGGTTGGGGGCAGACCGATCCGGCATCCGTGCAGCCACTCCTGGCAGCACATCAGCCCCTTGCGCCAAACGTAGCTGTCGGCTTGGTTGCAAGATCTCCTTGTCGTGCTGTCCAACGAACTTGAGCTCCCACTTGACTTTGCGGAGCCCGAGTAGGTCCCTCTCCCTGATGTCGTCCGGGAGGTCGTCAAAGCGAACATAAAAGCCGACGACTACCTTTCGCCCACACTCACTCAATCGGTTGACTTTCTCAAGCTTCAAAGCACTGGAGGTCAAGCCGATGAGCTTCACGAGTTGGCACTCGGTCAGGAACAAGCACTCAATCGACATCGACTCTGAAATCAACTGCACAGCCTTCACCGAGGATGGCGGATCGAAATACTCCAACTCCTCGTCGGCCTCAAGCCGGGCTAGTCTGTCACAGCTCTTGTCGACATCTTTCACAAACGGCTTGTTAGCCTTCTCCTTGGAGTTGTAGCGCGCCATTGCGTCAACGTAGTCCACGTCGAACCCTGAGGTGATTGCCGTGAAGCAAATTCCACAGGCATCATCTCGGCCGGGAAGAATGACAAAGTCCTTGTCCTGAACCATTGAAGACTAATCAGTGACTAATCATCGAATTCCGAAAATCCGATTCCGGATCGATCAATCCCACACAGCCAACTGTAGCCGCTGTAACCCGAAAACCATGCGTGGCTACAGCTGCTACAGCTACAGCGATTGAGGATTGCTGGCTCGGCTTCGGGTTTTTAGCTATTTTAGCCGCTTGGCTTAGACTTAGTTGTTTTCCAGGTTGTCCACAAAGCCAGTTCAGTTGTTATGCCCTGGAGAAATATTAAGCCCTCCGAAACAAACCCCAAGCAGAACCTTTGACTTTTCTTTCCCCTGCAACACCTAGACCAAGCACCCACATTGACCTACATGTGTTGACCACATTGATTCCTTACTGGGTGCGGTTTTTTCTCACCACACAATCACCAAAACCGAGGTCCTTGGAAGTTTTCTTGCACCGCAAGCATACGTAAATCGGAGCTGCGGCGGATGAGCAGCCTCGGGCCTCTCGCTCTCGGGCTTGTCGATTTGTGGCAGCCGTCTCCACCGGCTCGATCTTCTCCTGCCAAGAAAGCTTTCAAACCAGTGTCTGATTCAATTGACTTTGTGTCTAGTGAGGCTACTACTCGACATTTACATTCCACAGAGACAGTCTCTACAGACTCTACTCTACAGTGTACGCGACAGTGCACACTACAGAGCACACCTTCTTGGCCGCGGGAGCCATGGCGAAAGGCGGGTCAAGGAAGCGCGCGCTGGAGCAGAGCGTGCTATGGAATCCAACAGAGTCCATAAAACATGGAGTGTTTTCTGAAGCAACTTGACTGATGGAGCTCGATGCGGTAAATCTTGAAGCCCATGCTTTAGCAGCGTAGCGAAACTAGAGGTCAGGTACTCTGTTCTCCTTTGGCAGGAGAGCATCACATGCACTCGAATTGGCACAATGCCACACAATGCCCGAGCTCCGCAAGAAGGATCCGACACAGGTCGGGGGTTTAGCCAGCTAGCCTTCGCAGATGTACAGCCTACCTACCTTTACCGAGTGAGAACGAAGCCGAAGCTTTTGGTGTCAATTAGGAATCTACCACCTGGGAAGGAGGAGAATGTGGGAGCTAGGTCCAGCTAGCTCTAGGTCTCTAGGTCGCCTAGGACCCTAGGCCCTAGGATTCGAACCCATATACAAAGTATGAAAAATGTTGTGTTGTCGGCTTTACAATTACCTAAACTCTAAACTCTGCCTCTAATGATTCTAATGCTTCTAATGATTCTAATGATTCTAATGTAGAAGGACCTAAGTAAATTACTTTGGTTCTGGAATTCTAGGGTCCAGGATTCTGGATACTAGACTCTAGACTAGCGTGACTTGACTAGAGTTGACAGGAGCTTCTCATGATCGACACAGAGCGGCTGGATGTCTGCCTTTGGATTTGAAGCTGTTGGATGTATCTGCGCCTCGGGCCTGAAATTGCGACAACCATTGACTAGCTAGCCCAGAACTAAATCAGGATGAAAGAGACTGGATGAGTAGATTGACTCATTAAGAGTGAACAAAATTGGTTGAATCAATAGAATAGAACATATTCTGCTGAAGATCTGGGTAAGGCTGGCCGAAATGTTAATTAAAATCTAAAAAATACTATGTCACGAGGTCACTACATTACCAAAACTATGTGAGTATCCAACTGTGTGACATATCGAAGCAAGCTCTAGACTCTAGACTTCAGACTCTTTAGACTTTAGATTCTAGATCTTGGGATTGGTCTGTGTCTTTGTTGGGGCTCAATGAACCCTCTGCACGGAAATCGCCATCTGTATGCAAGCTGTGGTCGGAAATCTATGACCTCAGCTCCTGTGCGCAGGGCAACTCCCTGCAACAGTATTTCTGCGATGATGAATTGTGCATCGTGGCACTGCTGGCAACCTCAGCCTCGTCAGTCAACGAACCGCTAGTCACTGGTCACAAGTCTCTAGGTCCTAGGTCCTAGGTCCTTGTAGAGTCGGAGAGAAAAATCGAAGAAGCCTGCATTATAAAATGCGCCCTCGTCTAGTCGTAGTCCGCATAGTCATAGCCATAGTCGTCACGACACCATTGATCAGTTGTCACTCACCAGAACTGATTAATCAAGAAAGCAATAACTTCGCAGCAAACTAATCACCACTCACTAATCACCAATCACTAATCAGCCATTATTAGTGATTAATATGCAAAAGGTAGTGTAACTGTGTAACTACGCTTTGGTTCTTGGTCATTTGTCATTGGTAGCGAACCAAAGATCATGGAGCCGCTGAATCACTCACTACTCCAAAGCCTACGCCCTAAGCCTGATGATGGCCCCTGGTCTTGCTGTCTTGCCATAGCCGAGCCAAATCAAGACATTGTCACAGTCAAAGTCCTTGCCCCGGGCACCGGCGAGTCTCCTCCATTCTCTGGATACAACAAAACCATTCCAAGAGTCTTCAAACTATAGGTTTGCAGCCTGGCTAGAGACGATCCACTCCCTAGTCACTTTAGACACTACTGACTAGTCACGAAAGCCCTAGATGTAAGAGTACCGGCCCAGAGTCCCAGAGCACAGCGAAAGGCAACGACACTACACTAGCCGTCACTAGCCGCTAGTCGGCTAGTAAGTGACATAGTGAGACTTAGTGACTAATCTAATCAGTAGTCACTGATCAGTATTATTAGTTACTAGTTACTACTTACTACTAGATACCAGTCTTACTAGTCACATCTCACTCGTCACACAGGTCGCTGGTCCACGCGGGCCAGCGTCTCCAGCAGCCAGAATCAGGAGGCACACTGCTTTCTGGCAGGAGTGGCTCAACCGTCCGGGCACTGACCACTACACTTCACTACACTACAATCATTACAGTGACTGACCACAATACAATACAATCTCATGACCATCATTACCAGCAGCATGGCATTGCCTTCACACCGGAGCCCTTGCCCTAAACTCGCCCTAACAGTCCTGACAATTCCCTCCCTCCCCAAAAACCTCTAGACTCTAGATTCTAGGATTCTAGGTTTGAACCCTGAACCGACCCAAAAGACCCGGGACGGGATGAATGGTTAGGCAGGTATGGGCTAGCTGGGCGAGTAATGTTTGGGCTGGATACATTGAACAAACCCACAAACCATAAGCTTCAAACCTGAAGGCTTAAGCCACAAGCCAGCAAGGGTTGCCACTCTTCCAGGCACTACCCCGGCCACTGCGCACTGCTGGCAAAAAACAAAGCACTGCACAGAAGCTTGACAGAAAATATAAAATATGGCATATGCATAGGCATAGCTATAGACTAGTGACTAGTATAACCTGAACTTCACATATGACATATGACATAAAATCATAATGACATAAAGTCATGAAGATGTTCTGCGGTCATCAACACGAATCGAAATGGGACAGCTACCGGCTAGCGGGTAGCAGTGATGCTGTGGGTGACATCTGCCTAAAGCCCAAACTGCTTGCTCTTGCTAGGTTTTAGGTCCTAGGTCCTAGGTTGTGGCGCAAGACCCAAGATAACAGACTCAATTATGTAGTCAGTTATTTAGTTGTCACCCATCTCTGAAGGAGCTTCGAAATCTCTCCTGCGCATCACAAGAAAGCTCCATAGCATCATGCCCAGGCACGGCAAACTGATTGTGTTTCCGGCCAGCCGCTTCAACTGGCGGTTCGTGAAATCCTGGGGAATGATCAGTTCCCTTGGGTACCCCAGAATTGCAAGCATCTCGACTGCAAGGATCAACCTATCCTCTCTGTATGAATACAGCTCTGAAGAAGTTGTGAAACAAGGGTGCAGACCCGATTGTTTCGTGCAAGTGCCTCTCGTGATAGATTGAGACACATCAAGAACTGTGCCCATAAGATTTTCAAGCTTGTTGTTTGATTTCCTGGACAGGATCCTGGCTGCTGTAACATCCAGTGCATCCTGCACCCGATCAGTCAAGCTCAATCCCAATCCCCGGAAATTCGGCTTGCCTGTCCAAATTTTAGAAGAAGATGATATACCCAAAGACTCGCGAAGCTGTGCAGAGTGCAGCTGCCACTCGAGGTCCACTGCGCCCTTCCCAGCAGAAGCCGTCGGCTTTCGTCGGACATCCTGGGGCGAGGGATGTGCTAGATTGCCAGGTGTTACATTGCAACATACAATCTAGGATCTAGGGTTCGAATCTGGGGAATCTGGGGCACTTTGCTGGGTGTATGGTTGTTGGTGTTGTCAGGTTCGCATCGAATTTAAATTCTTGTTTGCTGGTACCTGGTAGACTCGAATGTGTAGAACAGAAAGCATCGGCTTGGAATTTCGATATTCTCTTGGCAACTGAAGAACTAAGGATCTCTAGGACCTTAGGCCCAGGCCTTACGATTCTGGAGCTTTGGACTTGTGACTTAGGACCTCGAACCTAAAACCTGACAGCTTGCAAACCTGGGACCCAGGACCTAGCAGCAGCTACTGGGCCATTGGATGGGTTGGGCCTTGGGGTCTTGTGAGTCTTGTGGGGTCTGGGTCTTTGGCACGGGGTTGTTGGGATGGGCCTGCAGTCTCCGAAGGCCCAAATCCTGGTGCTACGTGTTTGGCACGTTTCTGGCACGTTTCTGGCACGTTTCTGGCACGTTTTTTTCACGTTTTCCTAGGGAAAACGTACATTTCGGCCGCCCCACCTCAACTTCCCGAAACGTGCCTGAAACGTCTCCAAACATCCCCAAAATGTCCCAGAGCCAGAGACCTCGGGCCCGGAGAATCAGAGGAGCCTGGGACCAAACCCAAGCCTAGGCAACCCCGGAACCGAACATCAACAAGAGCCTGCAACAGCGCTGCAGCCAAGGAGCAGAAGTCTTTTCCATCCATCTGCTCAATAAAGGTGAATCCTGCAGCACACATGGCAGCAGTTTCATCATCATCAGCAGACATAGGCCTCGGACCTTGCGGCTCTAGGGCCCCAGGGCTTAAGGCTCAGGGCCTCGGACTTTCGGTTTTGGCAGTGCTGGCAACAATTGCAATGGTCCAAATTGCTTGTCCTTCGGAAGCAAGAAGTCCAGCATCTCTTTCGGGGTCTGCTTCTGCACATTCGCAATCATCTCCTGGTGCTAAATGGGTCATTTGTTTGCTAAATGGGTCATTTGTTAAATACATTGTCTCATATCCTAAAGTTCGACACCTTCGACACCTAAAGTTTGGGCAAAACCAATATTGCACAACTTCACCTCATAAGCGCTTGTAACTTGTGTCTACTGGATCTACTGTGCACAAGCAGAGTGCAATATTCAGTGCACTATACTATAGTAGTATTGTTACTAGTTACTAGAGTAAACTGTTTATACCAGGTAACCCAGGTACCAAACAACTGCCCCAAGTAGAAGGATCCAATGCAACACCGAAGCGTGGAAGGAGCAAGGGCTTATGCCAAAGCCTGGGCCCGAAAGTGCCGCGAACAACCAGCAAGGTCCCTCCTTCAAGATGTACTTCCAAGCCGTAGCATCCTTCGTAGTGTAAATGTCCTTCCGCAGGAAGCCCACAAAGATCCTGGACACAGGCGATCTACAGCAGGGTCAGACAGGAAGCATGGGCAGGGCTTGTGGTTGGGTTCAATGCTAAGGATGCTTAGCTTTAGTAAAGCTTTAGGTGTTCTCAGGCATCAGACTGAAAAGTTGATTTCTAGGTAGGCCTTGGGTTAGGTTTTACATTGGTGATCATTGGTGTCGTATAAAGTCATGTAGGGCCTAATGTAGGGATTGTAGAGCAGGCAGGGTGAGGCAGGTAGGGCAGGCTTCAGCGGAAGGGCTGTGTGTTGGCCGGTGTATTCGGGCCAATTGTGGCTAAGTCGACAGAAGGTTGGGAATGAGGATCTCAAGTGATTCAATTTCTGAGGCCACAGGAACCGACAATGAGTCTCGCGGTATGTCTTTACAAACCAGGGTGGCTAGTGACCAGTGACTATAGGCATGACTAGGGCCTAGGGTCCATTTTCGGGTGAATCTAAGTCTATCTGACTCTATCTTGACCTACAAGATATAAAAGACCTGGAACCTAGGACCTAGGACAGGACCCAGAACCTAACACCTACACCTAGAATCCTAGAGTCCTAGAGTCCTGGAGTCATAGAATCTAGGACCTCGAGGGCTTGGCGGCCAGGGTTACACTGCTTATGTACTGTTCGGCTGTTCGGATGTTCAATATCTTCAGGGCCTTGGGCCTTGGGCCATGGTAGGCTGGGGCTTTGTTCAAAGTTCTGGAACTCGGTGTGCGCTGCGGGTGCAGTTTATGCCACTGGTCTGGTTTTGGTAAAATAGCATACACAGTGTATTAATCTTCCTAATTCATAATGCAGCAGCAAAGAAGAGCGAGCAAACTGAAGCCGACAAATCGTTTAATTAGCTGATCAGCCATGGCAGCCATGGCGCTGATTATAAATGACTGTATGGCTTGGTGACTGCAAACAAAGAGGCAATGATTTGTGTGATGTGGCAAAAGTGACTAGTGACTAGTGAGTGGCCCGATGAGAACGCCAAGAGTGATTTGGTTTTTGTTAATATTGTATAAACAGAGCACGAGAATCACTAGAATCACTAGAACCACGAGAAGCAAGCTAACTACAAAGACATAGAATCACGAGTCAAGTTCTTGTGTCTAGAGTCTGGAGACCCAGGCGGCATATGGCATAATCAAGGGGCCCAAGAAGCAAAGGTCGCCGAACCAAAACCTGCCAGGCCCAGCCCCAAGCATAATGTCAACCTTTGAATTGTCACAACGTCCAAAGCCCGGAAAAGGCGGCTAAGGTTCAATACCTGAACATGGCAGCCCGAAAACCCTCTTAGTCCACAAGCCTTGGGCCTTGACCTTGAGTCCTTGACTTGGGACCCTGCCCTGCCCTACCCGTAAAGCACTATAATATCACTATAACTCCGAAACCTTGGGCGGGAAGCAAGTGGGACTGAGTGATAAAGGATCATTCGCTTCAGTTCGGCCCTTCAGCCCTTGAGTGTCGAGTCTTTTGAGGCCGCGCACCGGCTTCGAGACACATGGTCGCATGCTGCTCCACAGAAATGGCCATCGAGCCGAGCCACCCAGCTGAAGCTGTCACATCTTCAAGCACTCCGAAGTGGCTTGGGGTACGCTTGTAGCAGGTATAGCAGTTGACAGCATTCTGATTTCGGCACTCTAGGACCTAGGACTCGAGGACTCTAGGACTCCAGGTAGAACATCAGCCTGTGATCGAAAAATCAGAAACCTGCAAGTAACAAGTAAAACAACACGTGGCCCGAGGCCCTATCCCAATGCTATACTAGTGACTTTACCAGTGTACCATCGACGGTGTTGTACAGCGCAATACCATACACTATACTACACACCTGTAGTGGAATTAATAGAGTCTAGAATCTAGAAATCTAAAGTATACAAAGAACTCCGGAACCCTGTATTCTTACATGCAAGGCCATGAAGAATTAGTGCAGCTTCCCATCACGAGCTGGCAAGCAAGAAAAGAAGCCGAGCTTAGCTGACCACCCGGGGTACGTCGGATTCCCCAGGCTCCTTGGCACGCTCGTGCCTCGCAAAATGGGCAGCTCCGGGCAAGGCCAAGAAACTAATCCGAGCTGCTTTGCGACTCTCGTAATCCATGTGAACCATCGATCCATGAACATGCTGCTCGGCATCCGAAAAATTCTTTGCGTCCTTCAACCAAGCCAACAGCTGCCCGAGAGGGCGGCCTTGCCCTGGCCTACTTGAACGGTTGCTGGGTGCTTTGCAAGTTCTGTTCCTTTTGCAGCCTTCGCCATGTGCAGAGCAGAAAGCAGTGTAAGTCTGCGATCTCGGATTATAGCGTATAGAGCCAAGACGCCACACTGGAAAGCTTTCTTCCTTCACTGTCTTGACTCGGCTGCTCGCATCCGCAGGAGCATCCCTGGGCTCTGGTGCAGCGGGCAGATGCACTGCTGGCTCGGCGGAGGGGCCAGCCTCCTCAGCACCTGTCAAAGCTTCTACGGCAGCTTCTAGTTCACGCAGAGCAGAACCAGGCCCAGCAACAGAAGATGATGGCTCTGGCTCCACTTCAGGAAGCAAGGCAGCCTCACCTGCATCATCTGCAAATTCTCCGAAAGCCTGGGCAGCGTCTGCCAGTATCTCCCACTCAGCTTCAGACTCATCTTCGTCGTTAGCATCAACAGCGTCTAGAAGTGGGGGGTCATCTCTGCCATCAGCATCTGCTTGACTTCCATCAACCGCAGCAGAATTCTCGATTGGGCCTTTCTGCTCCTGGTGGACCTGGGGGCATTGAGATAAGGCGTGAAGGGTGGGAAGATGTTGGACCATTGCAAAGTTTAGGGTTTAGGGCTGAAGTTTTAGGGTCTACGAAAGTCTACGACTACGAGTCTATGGCCTACGGATACCACGGTTACAGTAAGGCATTAGGGCGACCTAGCGTCCAAGAGTCTAGAGTTTCTGGCAAGAACGGGATCCAACTTTGAGGTTCCTGCCGAATTCTGGAGTTCTGGTCTGCAGCTTCGATTATGGGATAAGAACTTAGGCCTAAGGCCTAGGGCCTAGGGGCCTAGGGCTCAGGCTTGAGCAGCTTGAGGGCTTACAGTTCCAGCTTCCGGGGTTCACATTGCTGATATGGTTGCTATGGCATAGCTGTGGCTCTGGCAATGAAGGTAAGCCAATGGTTCTGGATTGTGGTGTGTGTTTATTTTCTAGTTACTAGTTTAAATTTTAAACTAGTAACTAGAGTAACTAGAAAATAAACACACACCAAAATCCAGAACCATTGTTTAAATCAATTTAAGTCTTAAACTTTAAGTCGACTCTAAGTATATTGTGTCTACTGTAAGCGCCTGAGGCTTGCGGCCGCCCGGTCCACCCGGCGGGCCACCAGGACCGTGCCCACCTCCGCCGCTGTTTCTTGAAGGAGCACGCTTCCTCCTGAGCTCTTCTTCTGCTTTGCCTTGCCAGATTGTAAACACAGGAAGCAACTCTGGATTGAGCGGTATGACCTCCAAAACATCAGGCACGAAGTCATCCTTGTTAAGCTGCTTATGTCTGTTGTCCAGCTGCCACCACACTGCTCTCCACTGTCTGTGGAAATCCACAAGGTCAGCCAAAGCCATGCGTGACCGACTGACATGCAAGCTCTCATCAGGAACGTGCAAAAAAGCCTTGTTCAGGACCTCGTCGCTGTTGCACTCGACATCCAAGCATTCCAACACCAGGAAAGTGAAGTCATAGACTTTGAAGTTGGCATAGCCGACGAAGAACCAAAGCGACTCGTCAGTGTACTCATCCCATGAAGTGCTTGAAGCAGTTGCCGCAGCAGCAAACTGTGCCTCCAATGCAGACCAACCAGCCAAGCCCTCTCCAGAACTCGCTGCCTGGTGCTTTGGCTTTGGCCGCAGTTCCAAGAAAAGCTCGGACTGTTCCATCATCAAGCGGGCCTTGCTTTTTTTCTTCTTTCCCTTGACTGCTGGACCTGCCCCGGCCGACTCAGGAGCAGTCCTAACAGCTTTGTCCGGAACCAAACGAAGGAAAGGCCGGACAGCATCGACCAGATTCGAATGACACATATGTGCCAGTTGGCCAACGCCGGCACAAATGCACATGCCGTGCTGCAGGCATGAGCTGCGGTTGAACGGTGTCGCAAGCATACGGGAACCCTTCTGGCTCGGAACCAATTTATGCCGGCACGACCAATCATCTTGCAAGCGCATTATCGCCTTGTGCGGCCGACCATGAAGATCGGCATTCCTGATGAGGCTGGCCTCAAGTAAGCATGCTCTGTAGGTGTAGTAAGTGCAGCATAGGACCTAGGACCTAGGAGTGTAGGAGTGTCTGGGAAAAACAACAACATGACTGAGAAGGCTGAGTGTAGAGTGTAGAGCCCAGCCGGTTAGCGCTAGCCGCTAGCCGGAATATGGAAAATTTGCATTATGTCATTTATCAGTACCAGTACGTCAGTACGTTTGACAAGACTCAGCAGCACGGGACCGACTCGCACGAATATGTTTCCCGATATGTTTCGCTCTTCTTCTAGATTATGCGACACCGCGGAAATGCTAAACTCGCCAAACAAGATGATACAATCTAATAATCTAATAGTTTAATAGACACATAAGGCATTAAACTGGGAGAAACCCTTCGAAAAGCATACTCATAATCATAATATCAACATCCAGTTGAGCTAAGTCTTAGCTAAGTCAATTAAGTCCCGGAAACCGATCAAAAATACTCAGTTAACATTTTGCAACTGAGGCCAATACCTTTGCTAGCTCGGCCGCAGGATTCAACCAGCGACCAGTCGGGAAGGTGTCCGCTTCGGGAATATACCGGCAGGGTGCAAAAGGCACAACCGCACCAAATTGGTCTGCTTTCAAAGCCGAGTGCTCGTTTGCCTCCAAATCCTGAGCCACGAAGGCTGCCACATGGCCCTGTTGCCAAGCTTCCGTGTCCTCGTTCCGTCGGGCTATGCCTGCAGCATCTTCCACTGCATGTTTGCGCATGTCCGAAGCTTTTGTGCAGATTCTTCCCCAATCGGTATCTTCAGAGTGCACATGTTGCACAGCAAGATGAGAGCCTTCCACAAAAACATTGCTACTGTCGTCGATTTGCTTTCTCGCACGCTTTGCAGGCCTTGGTTCTGCTGCCACAAAAGCTTTTGACCCAGCCCTGGCACTGTCGGTGCCTGCTTGGCCAAGCTCCGAAAACCTCTGCTTCTCGGCAGCTGTCAGGCGGTGGAAGGCTGCATTGACTCGCTTGAACAAAGCCCCTCGGTTCTTCCAGTCTTGCCGAGAAGCCTTCGGCAGCTCCTGGTGCATAAAAGCTCGCTGAGCTCCACCTTGTGGAGGTTGTTTCAAGATCCTCTTGCGTTGCTTTTTTTTCAAAGCATTGGCACGCTGCTTGGCCTTGGCAGCCCGGGCATGCTTCTTGTGGGCCTGCACTCTCATCTCTCGTTGTTGCTTGAACTCGCAAAAAGCATCTTCATCTGGCGCAGGATGGGTCTTGTAGAAGGCCAACCTATCCAAAACCTCTGCATCATCAGCCTGTGCTTTAGCAACCTGTCGCACCAACAAGTCTGCGCTGAGGGTCTCGAGAAGTGTATCCCAAGTCTGGCCTTTGGCAGTCAACAGCTTTCGCACTTGTGCATGCCGACACTCAACTTCTGCAACGTCCACCGAGACACAAGCTGCAATGCTGTGAACCATGGCTCGGCAAAGGTCGGATTGCAGCTTTGATGCACTGGGAAAAGTATCCAGAAACCATTGCGACAGGATGTCCACTTGGCAGGGCTTCAACCTCATCAACGACTTTGCAATCTGGGACGCCTGGGGTGGGGCAGCAAGAAGCCCAAATAACAAGTATGGGCACTGCTGGCGGATCGCACCCAGATTGTGCTCCAAGGCACAGATCAATCTGCCCAACAAACCTTTGCTGCTGTGCTCTGCTGAAAATCAAACAACCATTGTTACCTTTGTTTGACTTGAATAGAGCACATGCCACTGTATGGCATGAATTACCCAACTCCAATAACCAAGTTACTCAACCCCCCGACCCAAACTGCCAAGTGTCGAAAAAGCAGGTTCTTGTTGGCCTGTGTCAAACCAGCTTGTGCCAGAGCCGGCACACCTGAATGGAAAACCTTCTCCACACGATGCTTTGCCTCAGTAAAACCATGGCCAAAAAAGACTTCTGTCAGCTTGTAGGAGCGCTCCTTGCCCTGACACAAAGACCATTCTTGGTGGTTTCGCCACTTGTCCGAAGAAATATGCAAATACAGAAACACCAGGTCCACAACAGGATTAAGAGCAGTCCTGAGAATGGCAAAAACATTCAGATCAGCACTTGAGATCCATGCCCGCACTTTGGCCTTGGCGGCTGTGTTGAAATCCGCCAACCGCTGTTCAGCATCATTGCTCAAAGCAGCTGCACTGCTTCCAGCAACAGCATCCGCTGCTTGTGCGGCTTCCATGGTTTCTCTCTGCCCATGTCGACTGAGCATGTCGACTGCCAAAGTCTGCCATCCTTCATGCACATCCGAGTCGTCAGCGAGAGCGAGACCCGAGGAAGGATCAGCAATCGGAGAAATCATGCTGACCGGCCCCAGCAATCGAAGCAGCACTGGCTTCAATAAGCCATGGTGAGCCTGCAAAAGGCCACACCAATCGATTGACAGTTCTCCTCCGTGCCATCTGTGCCGAGCAAACAACCGGAGGCCCTCCGGCACGAGTGCGGGAACGATGAATCTGCGCACCAGCCACATAGCCTGTGCCGGATCTACTAAGTGACCGTGGGTGCAAAGTGTCACCTGAGTCTCATCTTGTATGTCCATGGCCAAGAAGTAGTTCAAAACTTTCCTCTGAACAAGGCGCTTCCTCCTGTTCAATCGTTTGTCACTGGATTTGGCAAGGTTCAAAGACAAATACAAGTTGTACACGGCAAGCCTGTAGTCCTCAATCTCACCTCCTGGAATGTCACCAACATGTATCTGGAGGCGGGCTTCAATTTCTTCTGCCAAAATTTGCCGAAATTTGGACAGTGTCCCAGCACTGCCCAACACCAGGGCAGTCGAAATCATGCCTGTGACTGTTTCGGAGACCGGTGCTGTTTGCCAGGTCATGGCCCGGCTCGTGTCATGGACCTGACATGGAAAACGAGTGGGGATGTCGTGCGGCAGCAGCGTGTGGAGCAACTCCTCAGCGCGAAGATTGCCGGAGTACCTATCCGCAGTGGCAATATTCACACGAAGATCGCAGTGGGCCCCTAGACTCTCCACCTCTTCAAGATGCCTGTGCATAGCAATCTGTGAGGTTGCCAGGTCCTCACCGGTTGTGCTCTCCAACGCCTGCAGCGGTACATGAAGCGGCGCATGATGGCAAGCAAACTGACCCGAGGCCACATCTTCAAGCAACAAGGCAATGCGGAATTTAGTTTGGAGTACCTTGGCTAAGCAGCTGTCGGCAGCTCTCAAACCGCGGCTATCGTTCATGGCAGGTGGCACACGCAGCCGAACGGGCGTCTCGTCATACACGCGGTGACGCAACAACAGTCTCACTTTCAAAGTGCCGTCATCTATTCTCTCTTTCAGCATTCGGCAATGCAATGACCAGGAAGCTGAGCTGCACAAATGCGTTGCTGAAGCCAACGCAATCAAGTTTCGGCTGAAGCTTCGAGTGGCAATGCCCAAAGCTTCTGCATCTGCAACCAAGGCAGTCTGTGGCCTTGGCCCCGAATCCAATACCCTGGCGATGAAGTCCTGCAGGGCTGATGCCGAGATATCAGCATCTCCTTCCTCAGACTCGTCTGCTCTCTTCTCGGACCGTGATTCATCTGCACCTGCATGTTGTTGTGCAATTGATAGCTCCTCCGACGCAAGCTGTAGCAGCGAAACTTGTAGACTCGCAGATGATCCTGGGGCCAGCACTCCCACAAGATGCTGAGGCATTGGATTGCCCACTGAAGATTGCTGCACAGCAAGCTCCAAGGCAACCGGTCTGCCTACGTCTATGTCTGCATCCAGATTGGTTGCTGCTTGTGCATCGGCAGCAGTTGGATCTACATGCTCAGCATCCTCGGCCATTTCTTCCAACACTCTACGAGACTCCCTCCGAAGAACATGGCTGCCTGTTTTGCCAGCACGCCTGGATTGCAACCGTGCCCGCTTCTGCTTACGCAACGAGTCTCCCACGGCCACCTCTTGTGATTCTGCTGCAGCTTCAGCAGCTTCGGGAGTTTCAGCCGCAGCTGAGGTCGGCGAATCACATATCCACATCCAAAACTCAGAGCCATGAACACTAGGTCCACTAAGTCACTAGGCCAGACACCAGACTCTACTCGACAAAATGTCATGCTCGGCTGAGGTGACTGTAATAACTGTAATCATACTTACATGCAGTGGGCACTTCTCGACAGCTTCTTACTCTTGCTACGTTGCTAGTTGCTACATTCTGCTACATTGCTACATACATCCTTGTTTTGGGAGGCTGCACAAGTGCGGAGTGACCTTCAGTTATGTAAGTATACATTCTGTTCGATGTTATGACTCACGACTCATTTCCACTACTCAAGGCCTAATTTGACGACTCATTTCCACTACCCAAGGCCTGAATTGGCCTAAAGGCCTAAAGTGCCTGGGCCTAGACCTAAGCCTAAAAGCTATTTGCAGACACAACTCTGCATGAATCATGATCCGCGCCGACCGGGTTGCACAACATCAACAGTCTGAATCAAGAGTCAAGGAATCATGGGGCATACAAAAACCTGAGGACCAAATGACACAAAGTGAAACCCGACACCGCCTGATCAAGCCTTAATTCAATAGCTGCCTGGCCTAGCTGCATAGCTCCAAGAAGCATTGCAATGTTTGAAGCAACCACTGAATTACTGGATAAATCTACAGTGAGTCTGAGTCTACACGCGATGCCAATGGATCGACTCTATGCCTCTATGCTCTATGCCTCTGTGCCCTCGCCTTTATGTCTTTTAAACTTTATGCCAAAGCATATGGCCTGTCCAATGAATCCAAAGTCCAAAGTCCCAAGTCCAATATCGAAGCTACCAGCTACCAGCTACCACCACTCCAGGCAACAGAACAGATAAACACGCATATCCCGGTTCATTCTGAAGGCGCACAATGCCAAAGTTCCAAACCCATACCTACCATGACCCCCCTGGACCCTGGGCCCTGGACCTACCTGCAATGACCTCTGACCCACAGGACCTAGACCTACACTACTCACTACTCACCAGTCACGACACTACACACACACACACTGCATGTGAATGGACTGTCCTGGGCCGTGACGCATTGACCCACCACTTGTGGTCCATCTCCACGACGATGAAGTGGTAGCCGGGTTGGCCACTCTCGGCTGTGGCGTCTTGCACGCTCTCCAAGAACCTGGCCCGAATTTTAGGTGTTCGGTCTAGAATCTAGAATTCTAGATTCTAGATTCTAGAATTCTAGAATCTGCGAAAAAGTTCGTATCTCTACGAGGAGCTGGGCAACTGTTGTCGGCAGGCTGAAAGCCCTCGGTCATGGTATGGGGCTGCCGGTATCCGATAGACTTTTATCACGATTGGGCAATGAGCAATGCAGACTACGAACCATGGTAACTAACTAACTATGACCATGGCTATGATGAGAAAAGATTGAAAACAACCTCAGGCCCACGAGAACACACCCATACACGTACGCCGTACGCGGCAAGTCACTCAAATGGGTCCACACAATCCTTGGCCCTAGCGGCAAAATGGAATGTGACTCACTCCCCAAACCAGACTAGACGTAACTAGACTAACATTCTGGATTTGCCGAATCTCCGACTTAGTGACTTCGCAACATATGACATGCGAGACTGAGCTGCCCCATCCTCGCCGTAGCCCATACGCTGAGCTGCTGCAGTGTGCTACTGCTACAGTTCAAGGCTCAAACAAGGTCATGCCTGGGCTTCTCTATTCCGTTTTGCCTATACTATATGGGCCTGGCCTATACTACACCCTACACGGCCCTATAATACACTAGTCACTAGACTCACTAGACCCTACACCCCACACTTACTACACCTAGACCTAGACTTACCCGCTTACCCCCAACAAGCCTTCCGGCGACTCTGAAGCGGAACTACCACATTGTCACATTGTCAGAGTAGTGTGAGTAGTGTGGATAGTGTAGGACGGTGTAGGAGTGTAGGAATCCGAGAACGAGTAACGTAAAAAACAAGTAACTAGTAGCAAAGTTACTTAGCAACTCAATAATAACCGTTATAGTAAATGATAACTTGATATACTCGTTTCACGCCAATCGATTGAACACTGAACTTCAACACAAACAGCGTGCCTCGTCATCGCTGTGGTCGTCTCTCTCTGATGAGTGCTTGTGTCTAACTTGTTCCAGCCAGTGACATTTTCCTGCAAACCTGCTTGGGGATTCAGCGTAACCAACCATGTCACTAACAGTTCTGCTGTGATCTTATCCTGTGGATGAGCTTTGACAGAGCCATCGTGGAAGCGCTTGTGCCGCTGATCGGAGTAGGGCGGACACGGTGTCCCCGACACAGCGAACTCTGCTCCTTGGCAGCTGCAGCCGCAGGTCGCGTCACGATGAAGCATGCAGGCACTCCCTGAGATTTGCTCGGCCATCCCAGGGTGCAGGTGGCACACGTCGCTCTGGTAGTTTGCCAGAATTATCTTCTGGCAGTCACCGTTCAAGTCCGCTGCGGACAGGAACTCGGCCGGCACGCCAAGCACCTAAGCTTGCAAAAATGGTTTGCTGGCTTAGGAGACACCGAAGACATTTGCTGGCCGGGCAATCACTAAGTCACTAGGCCCTAGGCTCACTAGGCTCGCCATTGCGGCCTCCTGCTGCCAACAAACTTCATATTCAACAATCAATCGGCTCTCGATAAACGATAGACCCGATAGACTCCGATAAACAGATATAACTTAGACTTAGATAAACTGAACCTCTGCAGATTGTCCATGACACCATGATTCTTCTGATTCTTGCAAATAAGGCACTTGCAGCGCAGCTGCTTCTGCCAAAAGTCCCGAACACGTCGACACTAGCTTCAAAGGTGTCACTGGCTCCAAACTTTGCTTGCATTTCAAGTGGTGTGCAGCAGCGACAACGCTTTCTTTCCACCAAACATTGCAAAGTGCCGGCTTGCGATACCCGCCAGCTGTTGTGATGGAGGGGACATCGGAGCTGGCACAGCTTGCCCCACAGTCTGCATCCGCTTGGGAGCTTGCAGCAGAAGAAACTGTCGGCAGGGTCGGTAGCACTGGTCGTACATCCACCCATTCGGTGTCGCTGTCGCTGCGACACGCTTCTGCTTCCTCAACACTGTCTGCACTCTCCTGCGAGAGAGTGAGGTATACTTCGTCTAACTCAGACCATCCCATGGCCTGAGCGCAGCTACTCGTACGTCGGCCGTACTGCTTCAGAAAAAACACGCTGCAGCGGCGTCCATTCACAATGCTCCAAGGGCCCAAAGGAGCAAAATCAAAATTGGAATTGGAACTCAATGTTGGAAACAAGTTTGGGCAAAATACAATCGGTCGGGTTCTGCAAACGCAAGCCACCTTAAATGTAGCATGTGAGCAATCAAGCAGGCAAGCTGGGCTGTTCGCAGGGATTGCAGCTGAACTTAAGTATGGAACATCGTTTCAGGTTGTGGGTGGGCATTGGGTCATTAGGTTTTCCGGGGTTTCGTTCGCGGAATGCCGTCCAGCTGCAAGAGTCTAGCCGCTACCACGGAAGCAACCAATGACAGTAGGAGCAGCAGCACCACCATTGAAGCAGCTCGCATCACAGAATGATAAGACTGCTAAGAATGCATGCCGTGGGCATTGGTGCAGGAGCCTGCGCCGAATGATGCGAAACAATCTTTGGCTGTAGCCTGTCCCGACTCCCAAACTTTAAAGCGCCAAGACTATCAGATGACTATCAGCCCCAGACCATCAACTTACATATGGCATATGGCACAACCACTTATTCGAAGCCAAATTCCATGGCACCAATGCACACCCTTGACTAAGTCACTAAGTCACGATGCAATTCCGATCTCTACTGACATAGTAAGCATGCCGAAGAGATGCCCGATGAGTTTGGCAACCAGCCCAGTCCAGATCAAGCCGCTCTATCCGACTCTCTCTATCCTCTCTCTTTATCATTTCCCATTCACGCAGTCCTCGCGTAAGACATCATAAGACTGAATCCATGTGTCCATATGTCTTGCCTCGTGTCATATACATATATGCCTGCCATATGCGGTGGCTAACCTGTCCTAGAAATATGTATCATGTATGCAAAAAGGCATGCAATACAGAAAATCAGGAACAACTTTCGAAAACCAGGTCGGTTCAATTTTCCAAAATGATATGTTGTGTTGTGGGAACCCCGCGCCTTTTGTGAAAAAAGAAACTCCCACATATCAACCTGTCCGAACTGTTGTCAAAAATCGTGCTTCCTGATCCTGCTCCTAGTTACCTAGTTGACATAGTTGTCATCAGGATCGCAGCTTTTGCCCACGCACTGCGCAGGCCCGACTGTAGCTAGGCTAAATTTCTTTCACATTGTTCAAGCCAGGAGGATATTCCAGGGTAGGCCGCATTGCGTACGCAAGCCAAACAACAGTCACCACAAACACCTTGCACCGATCACACAAGGTAACGGAATTACATGGACCGTACTGTTTTTTGGAAAGCAGCATTCCATGTTTCTCACACCGGACATTCACCCCTAGACCACTTTCTTGACACACATTCTAAAAGACATCCATCAACTTCACCTTTTTATCACGTTTTTAAGCACGTTTTCCGACATAGCCAATTCACGTTTCTTATACGTGTTTATCACGTTTTATTTAAATCAACATGGCACATATCCTCCATGCAACGCCTGTCACAACACTACAAACAAAATTGAGCCGGAGTGCTTGAGGCGCAAGCTTTCAACGAGTGGCTCTCGAACCGCCGCCTCCGCCAAGAAGGCGAGACCTACGCCGACGAGCTCGGCAGGATGACGGAGGCCGTGAACCGACGGATCCCCCAGCTCCGCTACGCTCCGGCGGAGCGCGCGGGCATCCAACGCATGGCGCAGGACGTGGCCGCCGGCAGGAACACCAGCGACTCCCAGGTCTACGGGGGGATGCTGTAAGTAAATGGAGGAGCGCAGAAGCAACGGCTTCCGCGTGAAGCCCTCCTTCGGCCAGGTCCTGGGCTACTTTTTGTCACTTTGATCGCAGCAGCGTCGAAGCTGCCAAGCGGCAGGTCTTGAGCAGGCATGTTTATGCCCGGTACTTGAAGTAGCACACTGTGTCAACTCAGTAACACAGTCTCTTGGACTGGCAACAACAGAACCGCCCCGAAGAGCCAAGCGAACTGTACAGAACTCGAAGCGTGCCTAATTTCGCTCATGTGTTATCACACAAAGCGCTACTAACATTGTAGGAACAAGTGCAAAATGCACTCCATAGATGCACAAGCGAATCAAACTACCATCACAACTCCAGTGCAGCGAATCCCAATTCACCAAAAGCACTCTGTACAAGAAGCATGATGCATGTCTGGATTCACTCACCGCTCCTGCGAGCAAAGATCATGTAAACTTTGCGTTCTAACCATTCCGGAGCTCGCATGTGGAATACCGCAGGCCTGTCATCATCGCAAATCCATACGCCCCTCGCTGGAGCATAGAGAAAAGCCTGATAGTGTCCAGATGAATATGTTGGTCCATGATGACATATACCACCCACGATCTCGTAAGAGCAATGTTGCACATCAGTTTGAATCTGCAATCGAGGATGCTCCAACGAGCACCTGAACTCATTTTTCACAATACCCACTTGCTCCGATTGAACTGTCCGCTCCAGACGCAACGCGAGAACATGAGGAGGATGTACGAAAGCACATACGTGAGTTTGCTGACTCCATCTATCTAGCATGGACTGCAAAGAGTCCCCAGAATGTGAAGAATGAGACTCGCGCAGTGAGCATTCGTGGAACCATAATGTAATCGCCTCGGAGCCCGAATCGCCCACTTCCATCACTGTAGCTGGTAACCCTGCCATGGGGCTCCTGGCTTGCCATACTCCACATAGCCACGGAACCTGTATTCGCGAACTGAGAAAGGAAAAGAATTCACACACATCATGTTGATGATCAGGGTATGGCCAGTTAAACAGTAGGATCTTCCATAGCATCATGTGGTAAATGTGCACCGGCTGGCCTGTTTTGGCAAGCAAAAGTCGCCATGCCTTCTCACCTCGACCGAATCCCGTACACCAATCTGGATGAAAGGCCCTAGCCACGCACCATGACAAACACTGAATGAGCGCATGCATGTAGCAGAAATTCTGGGGGTTTGAAAGAATGAGTTGAGGCACTGTCCCAAGTATTCTCGCACCATCTTGTTCAGGATCGATTTCTTCCAACCCTCGCGCTTGTACTGAACCGCAGTCAGCTGCCACACCGATGAACCCATGAGAACATGTAGAAGCTCCCATGCGCGCTGTGCTTCTTTGGATCTTTGGCTGATCTCGAGCAGGAACGTGGCCAATCCTTTCATGTCGGACGATAATGGTCGTGTTGAGTGGAATCTCATGACGGTCTGCCCCAGCAGCTTCGTCTTCAATTCTTCCAAGAGCTGGAGTATTTCCATATCCTTCAACGGTGCCCGCTCCGACACCGTCACGAGCATCTTGGACTCCGGATCCCACTTTTGGTAAGGCCAACCCGTTGTCGGATCTCTCCACCCCACTTCCTGAAGTTTGCGGGCTTTGTCCGCATCCCCTGCCACTTGCCCTACTCGGTTGATCACTTCCTGAACCATGGCGATTGCAAGCGTTGTTCGCAACGTGGGAGTCTCGTCCACATCGGTTTTCATGGCTTTGTCCTTCCACTCCTTGGCCTTGTTGAACATCATCTGTAGTGCAGTATGTTCGCCTTGCCTCATCCATAGAACAAAGCTGAAGTCTTGTTTGAGAACTTGGACCTCGTTGTCCACCCGTAGCGCAAGCCGAGCTACCGCTGCAAGCAGAGTCTGCATGTACTGCTCCCACTGCTCTTGATCCATCGTTGATGTTGTTGCTGGCGTGGTTACGAATGGGCTTTGATGGTATCGGACTGGGGGACCGAAAGAGCCTTGCTGCTGTGGACTTGGTCCGAAGCCTCCTTTTTTTCCTTTGCCCTTGCCCTTGCCCTTGATGAACTTTGCTGCTGCTTGTGTCGGCTCTTCCTGAGACTCTCGTTTGCGTAGATGAGGATTGGGATTTACCGCGCCGAACATCTCCATGATTTGATCCATCGGCGTCTCCATGGTACCCAGCATTCACTAAACTACTCAAAGCCGATACTTGCCAAGCCACCGTGCATTTGTGACGTTTCCAGGCTTTGGATGCATCCGCGCACAACGAGCATCGTGGGGAGGGTATAAACCATGATTTAAGCAATGATTCACATTGGGACTGCAGCAAGTCAAACTCCTTCTTGTGAGTGTAGCGGTAATGCTGTTTCAGCAGACCTGGGGAAACCAGCCATTGGTTACACACTCCACAATGATGTAATAAGTGTGCTGCAATCTCAGGCATGTCGTGAATAGCCGCCGGATTCTCAGCCATGGTCAACATACACGAACGCAGGATGACTGGAACAGAGTCTGCATCAGCACTTGTGTGAGGTTTTTCTGTTTCAATGATCTCAACAGCAACATCAGTCTCAATGGGAAGTTTAGTGCATCGGCGATTGACGATGTGTCTTTCAAGCCCTGACCATCGTGTAAACTTCTGACGGCAATACCTACATATAGGCAGGCCTTCCACTGAATGCCGTTGTTTATCAAACACTGCTGTATTCTCCTTCACACGATGCTTGCACCACTTGTGCACTCTGAGGGCCCGTTGCGTTTCAAACGCATCCTGACATAACTCACACCGATATGGTAGATCTTGCTCTCCTGACAGCTGTTGATCTGTGTTCGAACGGCCACCTGAAACAATTGCAAGTTGCTCCTCAGCATGGTCACCTGCATCGTCGTGCACATCAGGTAGCGGCTGCATTTCAGAATGAAGACCTCGAACAGCATCAACAACACTCTTTAACGAAAAAATGTCCTGCAGCACGTAAGGATCCTGACCATCCACATACGATGAGACCACCTTCGCGTTCTCCAGCTCTTTAGTTGTAGAATGTAACAACATAGCAATCGGAGACTGCAGACCAAACATATCAAGCAACTTGTCATCTGAAATGCGTGTTTTATGCACTGGCATGCTGGTAATAGACCTCAATTGTCGCATGACCGCCGACTTGAGTGATTTAGCTAGAACGCCATCAAGCTGCAGACAACTCAAAGCATAAGACTGGGACGACCAAATGCATGACCTCCAAAGTTTGAGTCGTGATTTGCGTGACATTGCCCTTCGACTGTTGAGAATGCCCGCCATCGCCCAAAATCTATGCCGCGCTTTCGCTGATCGATGTTTCAGAGTGAGACCAGCAGCATTATCATAAGCAATGACGGCACCTAGGTACTCCACCTTATCCACAATTGGGATATAGTCTTGTGGTCCAGATCCAAGAACCAGCCGCAGTTCATTTTGAACTTTCCGTGTCAATTTCTTCCTCAGATCACATCGCTTGGTGCCTTGAATCCTCAGGATGGCCTTGGCCTTTGTGGGGTTGATCAGCATACCCATTTCACTCAGAATGGAGATAACCTTGTTGATATCATCAATCGCCTGATACAATTCTTGTTCCGTGTTAAATTCGAAAGCTAGATGATGATCGTCAGCAAACAATGTCAAGTGCTCTTTGGCAAAGGAGTGTCGAATGTCTATGTCCATGTGTAAAGCGATCAAGCCTGTGAATGCCGCCCATATTATGGGCGAGGCCTTGCACCCTTGCCGAACTCCGCGGTTAGGATGTATGTTTCTCGACTCCCCCGCATGCTCCAAGTGATAGCGCGCTTGCTCCAACCATTGAAGTAACACTGCCGTAACATCGTGAGGTACACTGGCTGCATCAAGTGCTTGCTTGATTCTAGACCTGGGAACCAAGTCGAACGCCGCCGATAGGTCTAGGCATACTTGCAATCCGCCAATGCAAGCCTGAGGTCGTGCGCCTTGTTTTCGATCATGTATGGATGGGTTTAAAGCTCTACATTTGACATTGATGCGATTACAGTGATCAAAGACACGTCTCAATGCCATTCCAGTCGACCTATTCGGCAAATATGCGAACTGAGGATATTGCTTCAACCAGTGTACAATCCATGGCTTAGCGCGCGAGGCCACCAAATCAATTATGGCCTTACCAGCCGGATCCTGTAGTCCAATCGGGCGCCAGTGTTTAGGCTCTCTTCCTGTAGTACCCGGTTTATGTAGCAAGAAAAGAAAAGCATCAGCCCAGCCCTGGGGAATATGAATGGCGCCACCTCGCCAAAGTTGTTCAAGCTCACGCTGAATGATTGGCGTAACAATGTCAGCGACTGCTCTCCATGCCACACCCGGTGCGACCCCGCGAGGAACAGATTTTCTCAGAGGAATCAGGCTAATAGCATGCTCGACCGACGTCAACGAAACTGAAAAGGGCTGTGAAAGCATGTGTTGATCCGCGATAGGAACTTCCTGAGATCGGAACCTTCCAATTCCTGTTTCGGGTTCAACATCTGCCCATCCCTTCGCAGCTGCATAGTCACCCTCTCAGCTTTAGGAGCCAACTGCTTAACAATCTTATGAACCGTGTATGAGTCACCTCTGTTGGCGGCCTCTTCTGCGCGCTGCAGCGCATCCATACGCCATGCCTTTTTCAATGTTTGACATCGTTTTTTGTGAGCTTTGTACGCACGATGGAATCTAGCCCAAGCCTTCCATGCATTCCACATACCACGAATAGAATGATCCTGTTGTCGCATCTGTCTGAACAGTTTCCACATCACGTTGACACCCTCAACAAGAGTCTGATCCTCGATGCGATGGGTGCGTGCCTCTTTGTTCTTCGGAAAATGATCACACGCAGCCTTGAGAAGCACTGGGTTAATGTCATCAATGGTGCTTTGTTCAGAAATACTGGCCTGAACTTGGTTCCGAAATTTGGTCAATGCCTCTGATGGAGTGGACTGACTGAAAGCACGAGCCATAGCCAGCACATTGGGTCGAGGTCCCAACTTCTGCTGTGTTTGTCTCCACCATGGTTGCCATGACACCTTGATCATTGCAAAGACCGGGAAGTGTTTAGCTCCCTCACGCCATGCAGCAAGTTGAGTATCTCGCAGAACAGTCGCTTCCCTGGAGACAGCCGTCACGTTGCCTCTTCTGGTGATGATGAGGTCAAGCTGCGATTTGATTTGACCAAACTCAAATGTTATCTGAGGTCTAGACGTGTTCCAGCTGTTCAAAACGCAAAGACGATGAACCCTGAGCAATGTGTCCAACTCTTCAACATCTTTCGCTTTACATTCCTTTGACCAAACTCCTGGCCCACAGATCCCAGCCTGAGGAGTCGGAGTAGCGTTGAAATCGCCCGTCACGATAAGCTGATTCCTTTCGGGTATTTGATGCACAGACTGAGCGAGCGCCCTCCACAATTCCAATCTTTTGGAGTAAACTTCAGCATCTTTGCAAAGGGCATGTTGATACAAATTGAGGATATCGATGTTCTGGCTTCCCACCTGAACACGTGCATGTAGAATGTAGAAGTCGTCCTTCCACGATTTCCTCAAAACGAATCTGTTCTTGTGAAGCAAGGGCATCAGCAATAAGAATCATCACCCCGGCTTTGACAGTGGACGCATGCCCAGAGTGAACCACACGAAACCCTGGCACCTGCCAATTAGATGAAAAACGCCACTGAGATTCTTGGACACAAAGGATATCGATCTTGGCTTTCCGGGCAAAGTGAACCAGCTCTTCGTATAAACCTCCTCCCAACCCACCCGCATTGTAAGTCATCACCCTCAAATGTCGAGCGTGGTGTTTTTGTTGTTTTTGCTGCTGTTGCTGCTGCTGCCGCTGCGGCTTTTGCTGAGGTGGTTGCTTCGATGAGGCATGCACGGATTGTTCGTCAAGAGCAACTGTCTTTTGTGGGTCTGACATCCACTTTCCTCGATAATATGTTCCTCCATGTTTCATGGCACGAGCACACGCTCGACGATAAGCACGCTTGCGAATTCGACCAAATCCAACACCGGACTCAAATTGTCCCTGCATACCACTAGGCTTCGCCCCCCTACTTGTTGGAGGCCCTAAGAACTTGGAAGCTCCAGCCACCCCTGTGGTGAGAGTGGCAACCCTCGGCTCTGGCAGAGTAATCACATTGTCGACATGATGTACCCCAGCACATCGAGTAAAAGTCGAAAAGAACGTCAACAATGCCAAACCCCACCTCGCGGACTTGGGACCGCGACAACTCAAGCGAGCATGTTCATCGCAAGCATCTTGTACAGCACATGTCTGTGTATTGGTAGGTGGTGAACTAGACTGAATACTAAGCTGGTCTCTCTCATCAGCGCTGATAGTGAAATCAATCTTGGACCTCATGACTTTGTGGAGCTCTGAAATCATCTGAGCACGGAGCTGTCCGTACGAAAAGTCGATTTTTGGCCACTTCCTGCATCGCACTTCACGTCGTCGTAGGACATGAAGATATTTGAAACGCCAGTGTCGTCCTCTGAGACCCCAGCAGAAAGAAGAACTTCGTATGATCTGATGGCGCCCTGCACCTGCATCGTGTTTGTCTGCAGAGTCTCGAATGAATACGCTCGCAGGTTCTGATGACAAAGGCTGCAACCTTTCGGAGCGGAGGGAGCTCACCTGAGCATGCCAATTCAAAACCTGATGAGCTGTGGATTTCGCTGCCCGATGAGATCCAGACGATTCGGTACCAGGAATATGTAAACTACCATACAAAAATGAGAAAACACAAAAAGGCTGCGCATTGGAGGACCATCGGTCATGCCATCGATCATGCCAAACAAACTTCTCGTGCTCAAAGTTCAAGAATGCACATGGGTCACCTTGAAAAGGAAATAATAAAAGTTCATCTGCTGCTGTTCGTCGCCGTTACACTGCCAGGTCTCAAAGTCCATGGTGAAGTTCGTGAATAAGTCCATCCCGCAATGATGTTTTGGGCACTCCTTTTGAAGCAAATCGAAAAAACATGCCAGTTGCGTCAACATCCTACGCAAATCACATCGCTCCAAAGCTGCATGACCAGACTCCGCGTTGTCAGCGAAGTTCCAAAGCAATGCGGAATCATGAACTTTGTGTTTGATCTGAAGCAAACTGCCGATCACATGCTGGAACTCAAAAATCTCCAGGTTGCGGTATGGCCTTGTTGTTTGACGTCGAACCTGTCGAACCTGTTGCACACATAGACCTCGACATGCACATGAAAAAGGACTCTTCCGCAAGCTTACATTGTGAGAAGTATCTGCGATTGAACATCCAATCTTTGACATCTGCAGTCTTCGACATGCACATGAAAAAGAGCACCTCAGCGACCCCACACTGCAATAGACGTCCGTCTGCGGGTTCCCGGTTTCACTCCTCCCAAACCGGGAAATTCTGCATCGAATCATCGGCATGTGTAGGCGGCAACATGCGCATGAAAAAGAGCACCTTTGCAAACTGACTGTGTAAAAAATGTCCATCTGCTGACTCCCGGTTTCACACCCTCCAAACCGGGAAATGTGACATCGAATCAGCAAGAGTCTACATGTACGTGAAGAGCATTTTCGCAACTCTTCATATCCCCTGCGCTTCTGCTCCACTGCGCGTTCATACGCAGAATCAGCATCATTGGTGTTCACAATCCATGTCTCCAACATAGCTTGGCCACCAAAGTTTCGGCAACTAGAACAAAGGCAGTGTAGATTCGCACCCCACTGGTCACCTTCCATGTGGCAGAGTAGCCCTTTGCAGCGACTTCTGACAGGTTCCATTTGCTTTGTGGTTGCATCTTGCCGATCTGGTGTACCACGCACATCTACTTTGACATGAAAAGCCATTTGACAAGCAAGCCATAGACAGATGCAAAGTTGCCCCATGGCCATCTCAGAGCACAGCGTCAACCCTGGGCCTGTTCAACGCGCCGAACCTGTTAGGGCCCAGAGTCCAGTTCACCACCTACAAGGCACAGAAAAGATCCATCTAAGAGCTCACTTGAGCCGAGAGCCTTGGTCCTGGGCTACATCCAGGAGGGCGAGCCCCTCACCCTGGACCTGCCCAACCGCAAGGCGAGCATCTACACCTCCAGCCACTTCTACCTCGATGACTATCCAAACGCCCCCGAGCCCATCTCCGACGCCCCGCTGGCCCCACACCACCGTCAATCCCGCGGCCGCCTTCGAGACGGCCGACGAGGGCTACGACGGCGTGCCCTTCCCCCGCCCACCCAGAGAGTTCACCCGACCCTCCTTCTTCCCAGACAGCGACGACGGGGGCATGGACCCGGGGCAGGCCCTGCGGAACGACGGCCTGAACCCGCCGAGGCCCCCGACGCTGGGAGGCCGGCTGCGGGAGAGCAGCATTCAAGCGGCTGAGACGATCATCGCCGGCGGAGCTGCGGGAGCCGCGGCCGCGGTGCGCAGCGTGGGCGAGAACGGGACCTTCAACATCCTGAACCGCGGCGGCGACTGGCTGGACCGGACCCTGCGCATCCCGCGATGCTCGCCAGGCCTGGGCCCGCCACCAGACGAGGTGCCTCCACCTCAAATCATCGGAGCGGGCCAGAGGGCGGCGGAGGTGGAGCGCGCGTCCGCGCACCATCATGAAGCCCGCCATGTTGGCGGCTCCCTGAATCGCCCGAGCAGTTCCCAGGATAGCCGCGCCTGCGCCTGCAACGGCCAAGCCTCCAGCCGCCGCGCCCACCGTCCCCGCAGCAAGGGCTTCCTCGCCCAGCAGCGCCAGGGCCACCCGCTTCCGCCGCAGTTGCCGCTTCGGCCCCTGCTGCCGCAGCCTCCGCCACCGTCGCGAAGCCTTCGGAGGCTTCTGCTTCCGCCACTTGCTGGGCGGCAAACTGTTGGCAGCAGCAGCGCCCGCAGGTGTTCAGGATCGACACGTCGGAGAACGAGACCCAGCCGCAGGCACAGCCGCAGCAGCGCATCGTGGCCCGCCCGGCGCGGCGGCCAAGGGCGCTGGTCCCCACGCCTTTGGTCTCAACAACGCTCCCATCCCGGTCTCTTCCGACAGCGACCGCTCCCGCATCAGCCGGCAGTCTCGCTCGGACCGCGGGCCCCTCGGCACCCGTCGTTCGACCAACTGAGGAACGAACCGGAACTTGCATAGGTATAAAGCAAAGGGTCATGGAGAACATCTCACAGGGGGTGCAGGATGAGCTGGTGCAAAGCCTTAACAACCGCCTGGCCTCTTCGAACGTCAACTATGTGATGAGCCGCAAAGACGTGCAATGCTTTCCATCGAGTCTCTCGACGTTCATCCCCACCGGGTCCAGAGTGGCTAGGATACCTCTACGAGTGGCAGATCGTTCATAGATCCCGAGCGTCAAGATCGCTTTCCGGGTGCGCAACAACTCGGCCACCCTGGCCCTGAACCCCGGCACGCAGGAGCCCTCGTGCTTCATCAAGCGGGTACAGCTCTTCGCCAATGGTCAACGTTGCGATGACATCAGCGAATACGGGCGCTGCTTGCTACCTGTACTCGCTGCTGAAGCCCGCCGAATGGTATAGGAACAACGGCATCGCGGGCTTCTGGGAAGTGCGCGGCGTGCCGGCACCCATCCCGGCGGAGAGCTTCAAGGACGTCCTGATGGCGCCCACGCTTATCGGTTTTTCCAGGCGGGCAGGTTTTTGCCTCCTCAATTCAACCTAACATTGGAAATTGGAATTTGCGCCTGGACCAAATTACTAGGATGCTTCGTCACCTTTCGGGACGTCAACGATTTGCAGCTCGGCGCCGAGTGCGTCAACTTCGAGCATCCGGGCGACGTGAACCAGTTCTCGGCAAACTCTCTGGAGTCCCAAATGCAGCTGGGAGCGCTCCAATACCCCCGCTATCCTTGCTGGCCGCGGAGGCATTCCACTTCCTTGAGATTTTGGCCGGAACCACGATTCGACCATAAAAAATGTGAGAATCGCCGACAACCAGTGGAACAACAACCAGTTCATTTGCGCCTTCCCCGTAGAGCGTGTACCCCAGCACCCTCTGAGTGGCATCAGCACGCGCTCCGGCGACCTCGCGAGGTTTACCTTCAAGAACATGCAGCCGGACCGGGTCTAGAGAATATATAAACACCAATCAGGAACCTTCATCTAGTCAGTGTCAGCAAAAGATGTTGGGGTGTCACTGTTGCCAGGGTTGCAACTCCTGCAAGACAGGCTGACCCCCTGCGGGTCAAGGGACCTCAAGGAGCTTCATAGGGTGTTGGATGAGGCGCCAGACCCCTGGGACCGTTGCTTCGCAGGCAGCGCGCTGTTTTGCGCGTACGGCCGTTGCCGATGGTCTGACTCGCAGCACTTGGATGATATCGAACTTGAATATGAAGAGGGCTCTGATTCCCCTTGCATACGTAGGAGGTGTCATCGACATTCACAAAACAATGAACCTGCAGGGTCAGCTGCCCCGTGTTCTTGAAATCATTGCACCGGCGCAAGGAATCTATGAAGGTGACTGGGCCCTGAAGTGGCTCGCTGCACATGCGGAGGTAGGCTGTGCCTGGTCGCAGGGCCACCCGACCATGCCTGCACCCAATCATCTGGGTGAGCCCACTGTCAGGGCTCTGGGCAGTGACGAGTGTGGTGCCTGGCTCAGGGCTCTTGCCGACGAGGCTGGACATGAGAACATCGCACTCTCTGAAGGCAACGTTCTTGAGTTATTGTGCAAAGAGGGGCATGAGCCATCTTGACAGACTTGCGCTGGGAGGGCACTCCCATGGAGCGAAGAGTGCCGATACCTATGCGAGGGATGCCCTTGCTCGCCCGTTAAGGTTGCTTCAAGGTGTCATCAGAGAGATCAGTATGGGCGTCTTCATTCCGGATGCCAACCGTGCTATGCGATCAAGGACAGTATCCCTCTCGCATGTATGCCGATTGCATACTTCATGGATACGGGATCTCTAGTGTTCAACACGGCCTTCAAATACATCGGAGGCCCGAAGTTTGGCACTGGACCCAAGAGGGGAGACCACAGACGAGAAACGTGGCCACTCGCTAGCTTCGACTGCCCCATGTGCGGAGCTTCATTCCCTGTTGGTCTCCACATGTGTCACTCTTGCACTAAGCCGATTCACTATCCTGATGGGATGTTCTACGCCGATCCTGTGAACCCCTTCCAGGTCGAATATTACGGAAGTCATGCTGAGTGGCTCAATGATCTGATCGAGCGTAACAAGCTTACCGAATTCCAGCTTCACGAGTTTCCTGCGATCAAGCAGCTGAGGAATTTCCCGGTGTCTAGGTCTCTCGCTGAGGACCATAGGCAGACCGCATTCTTCGGAGTGCCACCGATCAAATGCACCGCTGCTGACACATCGCCGAAGGAAGTGGAACTGTTCAAGAGAAGCGTGCGCGGTACGATTCAGGGCGCCATTCGCTTGGACATTTCCATTGAGAGGCTTGTTGCCGGTATCACTGGCAAGGAAGCTCGATGTGGAGTAGAAGACTTCTTCAACTCACAGTCGATCGCATGTGCTGCCACGATTGTCAAGCACTTTGGAGCGGTCTTCGCCACATGTCGCGAAAAGCCGTTGTGCTACTATGCACGTTGGTCGATTCACTGCCAGCGCGCATATCGAGTCTGCCTGTCGCGAGGGTATCTATCCCCCTTTTACACAGGTGTGACGGTCGATTATACCGTCGACCAAGAGATGGCAGAAAAGATCCGACTTGCTCATCTGCCCTTGCAAAACGCCAATTTGGCGATGAGGCGGCACATTCGACTCTCCACCGAGTTTGGAACGTTGGATGAATTCCGTGCCACTATCACGGATACGCAAAAGTATCAACGGTACATGCGTGTCGACAGTGAGAGCCTTTCCGCGCTCCTGGCCAAGGTTACCCTTACCACATGCTACGGCATTCCGACAAAAGGTGAGCCTGGCTATATCTCTGACGATGAAGCAGAAGAGATCGAAGGAGCCGCAGCGGCAAGCGAGAAGCCCAAAGGGAAAAGCAAAGGGGAAGACGAATCCAACGTCCAAGCCATCAACTCGGAAACTTATTCCGCATCACTCTGATCCCCGATTCACGATTATTGCTGAGGGGAATACGGCACTCCTTGATGCAGCCGAAACGCCGGAAGAGACGCGTAAGGAATTCAAGGAGTTCGTTCGCGATCACTCTATCAAGATCAAAGAATGCTTTGACGACGATCGTGCGACAGAGAAGACATTCTTCAATCTTGTTGAAGGAGTCAAGGATCAGCTTCCCGATGCAAATAGCACTGACCCGCTTCTGATGAAAAGGGCTGAGGACGTCTTCGAGGCTCTCCCCGATGAACTGGATGATCCTCCAAGAGTGTTCGATGTTGCGGCTCGCCAGGCACGACGGCGAGACCCTGCACCTCAGCGCAGGGTGCAGGTCACTGAGCAAAGACAAGCGCCGATCCCCGAGGCTCATGCCGTTCCCATTCCTACGGATGACGAGGATGAGGATGATACTGAGCTCGATCGAGCGGTACGACCCGATCCAACATCACAGCGCACCGGACGAGAGCATCTCGGAGGTGTCGCTCCCGAGACGACTCCGCCACCGCCTCATAACATGCCGCCGCCATCAAGTTTGCCGACTCGAAAATCACATCGGCAAACAGGCTACAGCGCCGCCCATCCTGATGGAGAACCGTTAATGGTGTCGGGGAGGGCAGAATACTCCGATCGAATGCGATTGCCCTCAGTGTTGCGAATGAAGACTCGGGTTCCGGAGTCGGATCTGGATAACCCGACGATTGAGGACATCATTCGCATGTATCATGCGCCGAACACGCTTTCCATTCCATCATCAGGAAGAAAGCCGCAGCCGTCATCATCGCGATGGGCGCAAATCCCGATGACGATATTAATATGAGGGCGGCTGGCGTTACTGTTCCCCATACCGGGAATACGGGGACGGGGCGAGCAGCATCGCCTGGAAGTACGTCCGCTGCTACACAGGAGCGGATTAATCCCCAGTTCCCGGCACCTAGCGTTCGCACTGCGTCGAATCCGCCATCGAAATTGCCTCGCGATGAAAAGTGGGCTCCCTCGATTGCGCGACCAGCGCCGGCTCAGGTGATCAAAAGTGCAGAAGCACGCACGCAACAGCGTGCTGCTGAAGAAACGAATGTTGCTCCGCCAGCTCCTTCCGATACTGCCTCTTCGGAGCCGCGATCTCGAACGATGGGCCCAGCCAAAGAGACCACGGCTAAGGGCAAATCCCGAACCGGATCCAACGTGACAGGCCTCATCGATGAAGCTGATGACACGAGGCAGCCGACGAAGGGCAAAGGAAGAGGGAAAGCCGAGAAAGGAAAAGGAAAGCAGGAGAAAGGCCGAGGAAAGGGCGATAAGGGAAACAAAGGAAGGGGCGGTTCTGGACGAGGAAATAAGGACCGCACCCGTAGCCCCACAAGTCGTAGGTAACGACCGTCAACATACGTAGCGACGTATTGTGTCACTGCAAGGTGAATCCGGTTGAGTCTTTCTGACCCTTGCGTCACGCGATTACGGGGTCAGACGGAGTCTGATGGTGAAGCCCGGCTATGACACAATTTCCGCTACTTCCTCAGCCTTCCTTGCCTGCGCCGCGCTGAGAAGACCCACAGGGGTACAATGGTTAGCCATGGTATTTTCCTCGTGTGTCCCTCTCTTTTCACGGACACTCGATGCTGCCGAGTCTACACTCTGAGCGCGTTGAGTCTAGTGTGTTACCCCCGCATAGATCCGATGGAACATCCGATTGCCAACGATCACACGGCAATTCGCTATGCACCTGACGATCACAAAAAGGCTGCGTCTGTACAGAAGTGAAACATAGGTTTGATCCGGATGCAGAGACCGACCCACATCTAATGGTGCTTACTGCTTTAAGCTTAGCTGACCGGAAGAGGTGTGGCTCGGTGCACAACCAGTGTACGTGACTCTCCTAAACTCCGCTCTTCTCACGCGTGAGCTCGCGTCGAGGGGGGTGTGATTTGTCACGGACATGCGTACATGTGCTTCTGTGTCTTGGTTAGGATTCACGCCAACTTTGTCTCACTACGCAGCTTGACAGCTCAAGACCGACTTTGCGTCAGGTCCAGCAAAAGGTCCGCTAGCACCTGGGGGTTCTAGTGCTGCCTTTCCGCTGAGCGTCAAACTTACGGTTTTAATCTCTGATCATCCTTGCTTTGCCTGCTGCCTCGCTTTTATCTACGATTGGTTGCCTTGGGCTTTGTGACCGAGAGTTGAGTGGAATCCTCCGCTTTTCACAGTATGGTTAAGTTAGTTTTTGTGCAGTTTGCGTTGCAAAATTCATATTGTGGCGCTCTTTGTTGTGTTGTTTGATGTGTCATGTGTCTGTGCTTCTATCTTTGCAGAGGTCAGAACATGTCAGAACAAAGACATTAGAGGCCCAGAAAAAGATCCACCGGGGTCCGAAAAAAGACACGGGGTCAGTTACGAGACATTTCGGGGCCGAGAAAAAGACGGCTTAAATTGTAGAGTGGAGGTCGAAAAAAATCGTCATCTTTTTCTTGACCTCGTCGCGGGGCTGAAGAAAAGATGGAGTCGGAAAAAAGACATGCCGAGGTCGAAATCAAGATGGACCAAGCGCGGGGTCTGAAAAAAGATATTTCGGGGTCGAAAAAAAGAGCAGCCCCTGAATTTTTACGTTTCTGCTTCTTTTCATTCGCTTTTATCCCCCTTCGATTTCGTGTGGCATTTATTTTGTGTTGAAGAAAGCGTCTGTTCACTTTCTTTTTGTTGATTTTTCGCTTTGTGCGGTTTGGGTTTGGAGTTGAAGGTTTACGGTTTAGGCGGCTTCAAAGACGCGGAGAGTTTGCACTTTACAAAAAGCGGAGAGGTTGGGGGGCGCAGCTCCATTGAAAGAAGGCGTCTGTTCACGTTCTTTTTGTCAATTTTCGCTTTGTACGGCTTGGGTTTGGAGTTGAAGGTTTACGGTTTAGGCTTCAGAGGCGCGGGGGGTTTGCAATTTGCAAAAAGCGGGGAGGTTGGGGGGAGGCGCAGCCCCCCCATTGAGCTTTTAAGAGCGGGCCCCGCTGAACGATTTTTTGCGGCCTTTGTGTGTCTCTGAATTTTAATGTTTTTGCTTTTGTTTAATTCGCTTTTAACCCCCTTAAGCGATTTCGTGTGGGCGTCTCCTTTCGTGTCGAAGAAGAAGGTCCTCCTTCAGGTCTCTTCCTCAGGCCTCCTTTAAGCTTTTCTTCAAACCAATCCTAGGCCTGCCTTGAAGCCCTCCTGGGTTTAGCCTGGGTTTGAACCTGGGTTTTAACCTGGGTTAAACCTGGGTTAAACCTGGTGCTTTAAACTTGGGTTCCAAACCTGGGTTAGAACCTGGGTTTCAAACCTGGGTTCAAACCTGGGTTATAACCTGGGTTATAACCTGGGTTTAAACCTGGGTTTTTAAAGCCGGGTTCCAAATCTGGGTTAGAACCTGGGTTTCAAACCTGGGTTGGGTTTTAACCTGGGTTAGACCTGGGTGCTTTAAACTTGGGTTCCAAACCTGGGTTAGAACCTGGGTTTCAAACCTGGGTTCAAAGCTGGGTTATAACCTGGGTTTAAACCTGGGTTTTTTCCCTGGGTTCCAAATCTGGGTTAGAACCTGGGTTCCTCTTCTGGGTTAGTTCCTGGGTTTCTTCCCTGGGTTTGGAACCTGGGTTTAACCTGGGTTTGAACCCCCGTTTTTTTACCTGGGTTAAACCTGGGTTCATTAAACCCGGGTTCCAAACCTGGGTTAGAACCTGGGTTTCAAATTTGGGTTCGAACCTGGGTTATAACCTGGGTTTAAACCTGGGTTTAACCCGGGGTTGAACCCAGCGAACCCAGGTTAAAATCAGGTTAAAACCCAGGTTCAAACCCAGGTTAGAAACCTGGGTTCCCTGGGTTGTTGTTGTTGTTCCCCCCCCCCCCCCCCCGGGGGGAGGGAACCCAGGTTCAAACCCAGGTTCAAACCTGCGTTAAACCCCGGGGGCGGGGGGACCAGCCTCCGGTCGACTTCGCACTGTACCTCGGCTTCTTCGGCCTTGCTCAGATGCACAGTCCGACTCAGAGCGCAGATCGAGATGTCACTCTCTCTCCGGTTGGGCAAGGGAAGGTCATCGCAGTGAGCTCGACCCAGCGCGCGGAGGACCGTGCGAGGATACGCAGGATATAGGGTGAGGACAGAGGCGGGGGTAGAGGCGGGGAGTCGTTGCGCTGCGCGACATCGGTAGCCACAAACACCACTCAGAACGGCCAGGACTTGGCTGTGGGAAAAGGCTCCTTGCGCGGCCATGGACGGTGGCTACTTCTCGTCAGTGGCTGCTTCGCACAACGCCACTTGCGGAAATCGTGTGTGGTGCAACATGTGGACATGTCACAAGCACAGACTGGCTCCGACCTGTTTTTTAATTCAAAAAACTGTGAGCTGCTCGGTCTTACAAAATGAAAACAAAAGCGGCGTCACGAAGCAAAAGCGAGCAGCACTGCGCATCACTGGTGATCCTAAACTCTTACGGATCAGGTTAGCGATCGCGATAGCCACAGCTCGCTGCGAATCGACACTGAACGCCCGAAGGTTTGAGCGGGCGACGTGGACAGGGCGCGTCAGCGCTCGGGTCTGCTGGCCCTCATGTTGCTGGAGTGTCGTGAGCCTTCGCGGTCCTCACCACCCGCGGTCCTCATCCGCAGTCATTGTCGCCCCCCCGCCTCTGTTCTCGCCCGTATTCTCACCCGCGGTTCTCACCACCCGGTCCTCACCCACAGTTCTCACAGTCGCTCGTCGTCATCGCGTCGTCGAGGCTACTGTGCTGCACAGTGCTGCGCCAGTTTGGCGATGAAGGGTGTGTAGACCACATGTTCGAGGACTTTGTCGCTCCCTTTTGGTCGTGCGCTGGCCTTCTCAGGGCTGGCTGTGCCGATTTTGGCCGGCGGGCCTGGAAAGGTGTGTGAAACGAGGCAGGGCGCGCCCCGAACAATCGGCGCCGAGCAGTTCCGTCATGTTCGGCGATTCTGTGAAGCTGTGTTCGACATCTTAAATCCTCCCGGCCTACGCGTCGACAGTAAGCTAAGATATGATAATGGCACACCTTGGTCAGACAGGGCATGGAAAAGCGAATCAAACTCAATCCGATCAAAGGACGATTTGGCGCAAATATAGTTCCGGTCCCGGAGGGACGATGCTCTTATTTCCGTGTGTTGATGAATTTTCTCTTGGAAAAATTCAAGCGTGGTCTCTTTGCTAATTTTTATGCTTCAGCTTTCAACACATGTCATTTGCCTTGTGTTTGAACAGAAGGATCCCTCGACCATCCGATGGCCTCTGCTCGAGATGGGAGGGATGTGGAGGTAGAAGCTTTTCTCTGGCCCATGAAATTTTGGGTCGGGGGGAATTGTAGGTGGGTCTCCTTTCGAGCCTTAGAATTATGGCAGGCCAGGAGCCTCACTCTCTTGAAGAGGAGTGTCAGCCTTCCGAGTTCGCTCTGAGTGAGCCCATTGATCGAGAGCCCGAGGACTCTTGGGACGTGTGCAGTGTCCCTTCAGGTGATCTTGTCACGAACCTTGCAAAGGAAACACCTTCTTCAAGCCTTGGACCGAAGGGAGAACCCGCGCCTGCCACAACACCTCAACAGAGGGCGTTGGCCTTGGGAGCTTCTCTCTTGTCGCTTGGGGATCCGGTTCCATCCTTTGCCTGGGAGTCTGGGTTTTGGGAAAGTTTCTTTGACGACAAGCCCGCAGTAGACAGGATGGTCCCGGCGCTCAAATTTCACAGACCATCTTTCGCAGGTTCGATAGAAGAGCCGACGCCACCGCAGGCTGAGGTCCAGGCCTCTGCTAAGAGGCCCCGCAAAGAGGGCCCTTCGTCTTTCTTGGAAGTTGTCAAGAATAGGAGTGTGATCTCTTGGAGGGACAAACGTGAAGCAGAGCATCGCAGAGCGTTGTGCAAGTGGTCGTGCATCTTTGACAAACTTGATTCTGAGTCTGACCCTGTCATTAAAACCATTGCTTCTTTGCCCGAGACGGAGAAGCTCAACACGCTTGACGATTACATGGCAAGAAAGGCTCCTAGCACTTTGACAAAAAGGGCTAACTCGATTCTGAAAATTATCAAGGTTGGCGAAGCCAAAGGGTTGAGGTTCCCAGTGAGTGAGCCGCAGCTTTACGAGCTTCTGCAAGAGGCAAAGACGGGTGGAGCTCTCCCGTCTCAGCTCAGAGGGGTCATGGAAGGGCTACTCTTCGCTCGACATGTGTTCGATATTGCGGCGTTCAGCCAAATAGCGATTAGCAGGCGCTGCTGGGGAGTTGGGGCCTCTCGCATTGCAAAGACTCCTTCAAAGGCCGCGCCATTGAGAGTGATCGACCTGGTGGCATTGCATCAGGTCCTTGATTCGAGGTCTAACCCATGGGACCGCCTCTTCGCCGGCTGTGCACTGTTTTGTGTGTACTCACGATCCAGATGGAGTGATGCACAGCACGTTGATTCCTTCAATTTTGACAAAGGTCCTGACAGCCTGAAGGTTTACTATCTTGAGGCAGTCATAGACATCCACAAGAACATGAACCGGCGCGGGAGGAGCCCAGTGCCTCTCGAGCTTGTTGCGCCGGGCTTGGGGGTGTCTTCAGAGGGTTGGATTGAGAAATTCCTTGACGCAAGAACCGCTTTGGGCCTGTCTGCCGAACATGCCTTCATGCCTGCTCCTGATGCCAGTGGAGTCCCGACCATTAGGGCATTAGATTCTGATGAGTGTGGGGAGTGGTTGCTCAGACTCCTGCCAGACAGGCAGGGCCTTAAGACAACATCACACAGCCTTAAAAGGACCATGCTCAGCTACTGCGCCAAATGGGGAATTAGCCACGACGATCGCTTGGCGATGGGAGGTCATAGCCACCCAGGACGCATGAGTGACGAGTACGCAGATGACGCAATGGCTAGGCCTTTGAGACTCATTGAGATGGTGATCAAGGCGATCCGAACAGGTCGGTTTCATCCAGACTCCACCAGGGCTGGACGTTTCGAGGGAGGAGAGCCCACTTCTGATCCTGCCGCTCCTCTTCAGGAAGAGCCTGAGCGGGTGCCGCCCGCGAGTCTCGCCGCGCATGAAGCTCAGACCAGTGAGATAGATCGAATGTTGGAACACAGTTCGAGTGACGAGCACAGTCTTGGTGCTGCACCGTCATTGCCGGGTACCGAGAACAAGCCACTCCCGAAGCAATCACTTGTAGAAGACGAAAGGCCTGTAGCCGAAGAGGCTGGAAGTGGGCTTCCGACAGACAGTTCATCCTCAGACTCATCCAGCGCGAACTCGAGTGCCAGCGCGCCGGAGCCCTCAGTGCGGCCTGTTCGACTTTTGCCTCCGCCAGTGCCTGCAGATGGCTGCAGGTTCGTTCAGCATGCTAGGTTCAAGACTTTGCATCTGCAGAGGTTGCGACACGTCAACATGACCTTGTGTGGTAGACTCGTGAAGTCCCCGATCGGAGAACCGGGAATTTTGAGATACGACACCCCGGTTTGTCGGGCGTGCAAGAAAGTAGCAGCTGCAGACTGACGCTCATGTGCAAGCGGTAACCGCTTCCCCAAGGGGGCGGAAATCCGCTTGGGTTCTATGCTGTGATCACGCAGCCAGCATAGAAAGAGCCGCGCGAACTGTTTGATCAGACTCATGCTTGATTGTTCCGCTGAGATCTTGAGTAGACTAACACGGAAAGCGCGCAGAGACTTTTGGATCGTGTTGAGTGTGGAATCTCAGGAGCTCAGTTGCAATTCCAACACAGCATGGAAAGCGAGGCGTGAATTACGTTGCTAGGAGAGAGGATACATTCGTCTGGTCAGTTGTGCAATTTGGCCCGAAAACCCTCAGCAACCTTCTGCCGAGAGGAAGCCATGGCTCTTGTGGATTCACACGCCTCCTTCCGGAGCAGATGTGTGGAGATGTGCGGGGGAGACGAGATGTACCGGAAGCTCGCGGGGAAGGAGATCAAATCCTTCTCAGACCTGGCCTTCGCGTGCGGAACCCCGCAGGCTCCTCCGAGTGTCGACGAGTTCCGGGCGTTCAGTGAGGAAATCCTGGGCCTTGGAGCTCGCTTGGGCGAAACTTCGAAGCTCACTCGCCTGCACTTCGAAGCAGCGACATACGTCATCGCTCAGTTGAAGCAACAGGTGGTAGGTGACACCACCGATGAGCCCAAGCGCCTTCCCTTGGCGGAAAAAGAAGCTCGTTACAGAGAACAGCGGCTACGGCTTTCAGGATTGGTGATCCAGGGCGAGCTGCTTCCATCGCATGCACTGGTGGATGCGGTGGCCCACATGTCCGAGACCAACTGCTTGACATGGTTATCTCCCAGCAAATGTACGAAGCGTGATCAAGAATTGAAGATTGGGCCTAAAGAAAAGTCCAGGATCCTGACCGTGCTGGATAACTCAGTGACCGTCACGGCCCAGCCAGACAAGCTCATCGCAGATCACAGCACACCGCTCCAGCTGCAATGGTGCTTGCAGCGACGTGGCCTGGCCTTCGACATGAATCGCATTATCTCCTGGGAGACTCATGAGAAATGGGTTTGCTACTTGCTGCAGTGCTTGACCTCTGACTCCATCCCAGGATACAGTCATGTCACTGTCGCCCAGGTCGTTAAAGCCGATTCTGAGATGTTCCTGTTGATGTCCAAGGAAATCAAGAACGTCAAGGCAAGCGCAACAGGTGAGATGGAGGCAGACACTCTGTTAGATCGCTTGAGAACGGACCCACGAATTACGATGCATTTGCTTCCATTGCCCAAAGCCCTCAGCAGCCTTGCGACTGATGCGGTCGTCGATGGATCTCTTGATGGGGATAAGAACCCCAGGAAAAAGCCGCGCCGTGAGCGCCGCACATCCGCACTCACAGCTGCGGTGAAGGTGGACAACATGCCCAAAGAGCTCAAAGACTGCAAGTTCTATACTGATCAGTCAGGCCGCCGGCTTTGCTGGACCCACAACACCGGGACTTGTAATGCTGCAACAGATGGAGGACACCCGCCAGCATGCAAGCGCGGAGTGCACGCCTGCATGGGATGCCGGAAAATTGGCCACGGATGGTCAGCCTGCTGGTTTAACAAAGCCAACAGAGGCGGGAAAGGCGGAGGAAAAGGATCCGGGAAGGCTGACGGGAAGGCCGACAAAGAGTGACTAGCCTCCCGTGACCTCTCCGATAGAACAGTGCATGCTCAAGCCAGAAGTCGCTCTCCCAAGAGAGTCCGTGCTTCCGGCCACAAATCGAATTCAGATCGAACTGAGACTCCTTGCTATGACCCGCCACACTTCTTTGGATATCGTGAGCCCCAAGATCAAATCTTGTTGAGCTCTGAAGTGCGCGAAGAGCCGGCTTTGCAGCATCGTGATTCTTCCGAGTGCTCGGCCCAAACCTTCGCTGCCGATCCTGCTCATGACCATTTCGAGATGAGCTGCTTGAAATTTTTCTTCACTCCGCATCACGTGTCAGATCACGGCCAACACCCGGCTGAAGAGTTCGCGAGAAATTGTCTTCAGCAAGGCTCAGGCGACTCTTCGTCCTGGATGGAACTCGCGGAGCTCTTGCCCGACGAGGAATCCTCCCGTGAAACGGCACAAGACCCACTTGAGAAGTGTTTCATCACCGGTGCTTATAACCAAGGCGGGATCACCGGAGTGCGACGTAACTGCCGACAGTTCCCAGCCTGCACCCGTCTGCTGGTTACCCTAGCTAGGATAGCCTTCCCCGGTTTGACATTTACATCTGTTGGCTTTTTCCGCAACATGCAGACTGCTCTGCATAAAGACGCCAACAACTTACCAGGATCTCGCAACGGGATCTGCGCCCTCAGCTTTTTCGAAGGAGGTCAGTTGCGCCTTCACCGCGCCGATGGGCCAGTGAACTTATCACTCAGCGAAGGACCGCTTCAGTTCGACCCCTTTCTCGAGCACGAGACACTGCCTTGGTCTAATGGTTCTAGGATAGTCTTGGTTGCCTTTTCGGTGAACTGCCTTGAGCGCCTCACGCCGGAGCATCGAGCGGTGCTTGCTGCATTCGACTTTCTTCTGCCGCTTTCTAAGGACCAGTCTGAGGTCGCATCGCAGGTTTCCCAGGCCGACTCTCGGCCGGCTTCACAATTACCTCAGACCGATGAAGAGGCTGGCATGTTCCTTGAGTTGTTCGCCGGCACCGCCCGATTGAGTCAGGCATTCACGCGCTTAGGTTTCCAAGCTCTGGCTTTTGATAAGGTCTGCAGGTCCAGCCATCCCGTTCAGGCGCTCGATTTCGCTGATCGGTCTGAGTGCGAGGTCGTGCTACAACTAATCCAGGACCATGCCTCTTCCTTGCAGTATGTGCACATGGCTCCACCTCAGGAAACCTGCTTGGCTGCCCGAAACAAAGAATCTGCGACTAACCCGGCCCCTCCGGCCCGGTCTGCCGCGCAGCCCTTAGGTTTGGAAGGATTGCCAGAGTCGTTGCAAAGGCAAGTCACTGAAGCCAACGACCTTTACATGTTCAGTCATGATGTGTTCATGCTGTGTCGAAAGTTCAATATTGTAGTCAGTGTGGAGGCTCCCGCCTCCTCTCTCTTTTGGCTTCTGCCGATGATTCAGGACCTCTTGTCCTGTGCCGATAATCAGGTCGTGGATTTTCACGAGTGCATGCATGGCGGTGATCGAGATCGAAAGCTTCGCTGGCTTTGCTCGGCTCCATGGTTCAAGCCCTTGGGGCTCTCGTGTAACCGCATGCACCCGCATGCGCCCTGGAACGCAGCTTCCGATACAGGAGCCAAAGGTGCATATCCACATCTCTTGTGCGCTAGGATCGCCGAGTTGGTTGCTTCTCAGGTCTGCAGTCTTCCTGCTGCCCCATCTTTGTTCGGGCCGGCCAGCTCCGTCACACGGCTGGCTTATGAGAAACAACCCCGTAAGCACCGGGCCTTAGTCAGTGAGTTCGGCGCTTATGATGCTTGGGCTGTGCCGCTGGGCTTCACTGCCTGTCCGCCCGCCTTGTTGAAAGCGTACCCTAAAGGTGCTCGTGCTGTTCGTCGCAAGCTTTTGCATTGGGGTCAGATACGGGCTTGCGTTCTCCCTAGCCTTGATTTCGCCTTGCTTGAATCTAATTTGGGATCCAACTGGAAATGGAGTATGGACTCGCATGCTCCCCCTCTCGAAGAAGAGGACCAGCCCATTTGCAAAGTTTGTGGATTCATGAGTGACTCGACCTTTGAAGATTTGTGCGAGGTACTCTGGATAGGCATTCCCCGCTCTCCGTCAGACTTCGTGCAGCAAGCAGTGTTGGCGGGCCACCCCAAAAGGATACTTGAGGCTCAGATCGATGAGCGAACCAAGCTCCTTGTAGATAACCTTTTGACCGGACGCGCAGCCTGCGAGGACCTGGGGAAATCGCGACTAGCAGAGTGGAACGAAATCGCTAAGGAACTCGAGCCTGTGGAGGAACAAGCTCGGAAATCACTGGATCCTTTGGTGAGCAAAATCATCGACGGGAAGAAAACCTTCCTACTCGAAAGGTTGCTTGCCGACTCATCTTTTCCAGACAAGTCCTTAGTCCCCGACCTTAGGAAGGGTTTTCCGCTGACCGGATGGATGCCTAGAGCTGGGTTGTTCGTTGGCGAACCTCGCCCCCCTAAGACCAGCCTTGACAAACAGCTTAGATGTGCTTCAGCCAGGAATGCCGCTACGCTGGCCAGGGTCTCTTCTCAGCCGGTTGATGCTGTCGCTGAAAAGGCCTGGTCCGAAACGCTCGAGGAACAGCAGAAAGGCTGGCTGTTTGAAGACCCAGCTCCGGACCTTTCGTCTGTCTTAGTTGCCCGAAGGTTCGGTATCATCCAAGGCGCCAAGACCAGAGTGATAGACGACGGGAAGGCAGCCGGGATCAATCAGACCGTTGGGTTGCCTGAGCGTTTCAGGCTACACAGCATTGATTTCATCTCGGCCTTCCTTGTCTGGGCCATGATGGACCCACGGGCCAAAGGGAAACAGGTGTCGGGAAAAACCATTGATTAAAAATGGGCATACAAACAGTACGCTGTCAATCCCTCTGATCGGGAAATCTTCCGAATCGTTGTACTTGATACGTGTTCGAGGAAACCCAAATTCTTCGGAGCGGCAGCGCTCCCCTTCGGAACGACGGGATCCGTGGCAGGATTCCTGAGAACGTCTGCTGCCACGTGGCATATCGGCTCAGCCCTGCTGGGCCTCTCCTGGTGCAATTATTTTGACGACTTTCCTCTTTTCAGTTTGGACGAGCACTGTCTTTGTGCCGAATCTTGTGCGGAGGCCCTGCTCGACATCCTCGGAATAACTTTCGCAAAGGAAGGGAAGAAAGCCACCGAGTTCTCCAAGCAATGTCGGGCCCTTGGCCTGATTATTGATCTGAGTGAATTCGGAAATGGAGTCGTGTACATCAAGCACACGCCAGAGCGCATTCAGGAATTGAGGCAGACCCTCACACGTATTCTTGATTCCGGCTTGCTTGAGTCGTCGGAAGCCGAAGCCCTTCGAGGCAGACTCCATTGGTTCAGCTCTTTCCTTTTCGGCCGCCGGCCCTGCCAAGCCTTGAGAGTCTTAGGTCTTAGGGCTAAAGGTTTGGATAGAGGTAGGAAGCTGAGCAGTGACCTTCGTGATGCTCTCACGTACCTGCGTGATCGAGCTCTGGAGTCGCCACCTGTGCAGCTCACGCCTGACATCAAAGAAACCTTTTACGTCTTCACTGACGGAAGCCTCGAGGGAGAAGTAGCCGGCGTGGGCGGCATTTTGTACGACCCACTCGGTAAACCTCTTTCTTTCTTTGCAGCCAGCCTTCCGCTTGATGCCCTGAACAGACTCAAGGAAACTTCGAGCCACCCAATCTACGAGATTGAGTTGCTGGCCATCTGGGCCGCTTTAAAGCTGTGGATGAACCGACTTACCCGTTGCCTAGTAGTGGTTTACCTTGACAACGAAGCTGCGAAGGGAGCCTTGGTATCAGGGAAGTCGTCGACTCTTCCTGGTCAGTCCATAGTGAGTTCGGTTCTCGACTTGGAGGACTCAGCAAGGATCCGTCCGTGGTATGGCCGAGTGCCAACCAGCTCTAATCCAGCAGACGAGCCCAGTCGAAGTGTCTTCGGTCATTTACTGAGGGAAGGAGTGCAAAGGCTTCAAGCTCCGTGCGCTTGGCCGGTTTGATGCATCTGCTTACCGAGCTCGCTCTCAGATGGGGTGTGGCAGGGCGAGCAAGGTGTGAACAAACTCGAGACTTACTGCACCCCTTTGCCCTCTCGAGAGAAAACGAAGACGCTGTCCGAGTGTGTAGCATTGCTTTGAAGTTTTCGCATGTGCTGAACAACAGTCAAGTTTAGGAGACTCTCACGCGGTCAACACTAAGGAAATAAAGTTCCGGTCCCGGAGGGACGATGCTCTTATTTCCGTGTGTTGATGAATTTTCTCTTGGAAAAATTCAAGCGTGGTCTCTTTGCTAATTTTTATGCTTCAGCTTTCAACACATGTCATTTGCCTTGTGTTTGAACAGAAGGATCCCTCGACCATCCGATGGCCTCTGCTCGAGATGGGAGGGATGTGGAGGTAGAAGCTTTTCTCTGGCCCATGAAATTTTGGCCCGCCCTCCCTCGCCTTTGCTGAAGTACCATCTTTGTCTTGCCTAACCCTGCCGCTTGTGGCAGGGCGAGCAAGGTGTGAACAAACTCGAGACTTACTGCACCCCTTTGCCCTCTCGAGAGAAAACGAAGACGCTGTCCGAGTGTGTAGCATTGCTTTGAAGTTTTCGCATGTGCTGAACAACAGTCAAGTTTAGGAGACTCTCACGCGGTCAACACTAAGGAAATAAAAAACCAATGATCGCAACATCTCCAAAATTTGTTGCAACAATCAGTAAAATGTCATTGAAAACGCAAGTTGGTCAGCGCTCGGCTGTTTCTTTTAGATCTTAGAGTGCTGTCCACCTGGTTTCCAGTCACGCATTTGCCACTCCAACACGGCACACGGCTAGCTGTGGAGGCAGACGGCTGGCCGGAAAGTCCTCGAGCCGCGTGGTGTCAGCGAGGACCTGATGCAGGTCGGGCTCGGTTCCTTCCTTGAGCGCGGCAGCAGGAGAGAGTTCAAGCAGCAAGCAGCGAGGCAGCGTCGGCTTGCTGTGCGGCTGCTGGAATCTCGCACTACCTAGACGCTGATGGCGGTCGGCTCGAGGTGGGCACGCACGGCTTCGGCTCGCTGGGTCAGGTCAAAGCCTCGTGTTGAGACACATGGGCATGAAAAGCCACTCAAGCGTTTCGCTGATGTGGCATGTGTGTGAAATTATGCGTGAGCACTTTGTGCCGCCAAACTGTTGGAGCTTGGCTCCATAAGGTCTCTACACTAAGCCGATCGCCGCATCTATCCAGAGCCATGCGAAAAACTTCTGCAAGCCATGTTTGTTTGGGTCTACCCCGCTTCCGAAGTCCATCATGCCATCGCGGCTGAAACGTCCCATCATGGAAAATACATGTTCGCATGACATCCTCCCGTGGAAGTTGCGCGATGCGCCCCAAAAGTAGCAGCTGTCGGCGCCAAAGAATGATTGAAAGTTTCTCAGTGCCAGCTTCTTGCAACACAGTGTCGTTGCGCACGCGGCTGATGAATGAGTGTGGTATGCCAAGGATGGAACGAAGGCAACGGGCTTGAAAGGCATCAATTTTGCGTAAGTCAGCTTTGCAAAGCCAAGCTGTATGAAGGGAATACATCAAGCGGGAAACCACACAAGCCGAAAAGATTTGTAGCTTCTTTGCGCATGTCAGATGAGCATGCTTCCAAACGCGGTTCAATGCATCGAAATCTGCCTTGGCCAACCCAAGCCGACGGTTCAAAGTGATGGAGCCGGACGCGGAAATCACACTGCCAAGGTAGACCAATGACGTTTTGTTCTTGATGGGTTCGCCGTTCGGCCCTTGGATGTCAGCATCACAAGCTATCGGCAAAGCTTCGGTCCTTCCCCAATTCAACGATAAGCCGTATACTCTCCCAGCATCCAAAACTCGATACAAGAAGGATTCAGCTTGTCGTGGTTGCAGGCTCAAAATCAGAGTGTCGTCCGCATAAATCAAGTCATTGACGAGCGCTGGTGGAGAATCAAGGCCTGAGACGGATTGGAACTCCCGGGTGGCATCCGTAAATAATACCGTCATCAAGATTGAAAAGAGGAATGGTGAAAGCGGGCATCCTTGTGAAATGCCAAAGCATTGAATATGTGAGGCTCATGAATGACCAGACGCGCGGACTTTGAAAGTCCTGCTGCTGTAAATTGCACGAATAAGGCCGCGAAACAGAGGCGGCAAACCAAATCTTTCGAGAGCATACAGCAAACCGTCGGGACTGATAGAGTCGAACGCTTTTTCCCAATCCAGGGACAGCATCACCAGAGTACCATTCCGGTCTGCCAATGTCAAGTCGAGCAGTCTCCGTGCAACAAAAATCGCGTCAACGCTGCCACGCTTGGTGCGAAAAGCAAGTTGTGTAGGCCAGATTCGCTCTTCAGCTCCAGCATTCTGCAAACGTCTAAGTAAGGCCATGGCAAACAATTTAGAACCAGCCGATACAACGGTGATGGGGCGGTAGTTTTTGCACAGACCGGGATCACCTTTCTTGTCAATCGCCGTCACTGACGCGTCATGCCATGAAGATGGCACCATCACATGCTTACGGATTGCGTTGCAAAGTGAAGTGGCCCACCCACACGCGGGAGAAGTTCTGCGACAAATGGTTTTCCAGAATTCTGCTGGCACGTGGTCGGTTCCTGTCGCTTTGTTGCGCCGCAAACGTGAGGCTGCTGCAATAATCTCCTCATCATTGAACGGCCCCGTTTCAACTGGTAGAGGCAAGCCAATTGGGCAATCAGTAGTTGCCATTGAGACGGGACGAACGGCCCATTGTACATCTTGAAAATATTTAGCCAATGACTCTGCATGAAGTTCACTTTCCACAACCTCGCCGTCATCATCGCGCAAGCGTCCACATTTGGGTGCGAATCCTCTGCGTAGCTTGCGAACTTCGTTCCAATCACCAGAATGCAATAATAGGTCCAACCAAGCCCTGCGGTCTACAGCAACGGAACGCCGTATTTGTTTGGACAAATCACGCTCTGCAGAAACATCCCTTGAAAACCGCGCATCATCTCGTCGCTGTAGTAGGGACAACGTGTCGCTTGAAATCCAAGGCCGCTTGGCAACACGCACGCATTGTGGCAGACATTTATCAGCGGCGTGATGAAAAGCGTGAGACATCACATGGTAAAAACCATCGATGGTTTCATGATGTTCGTGATTGCTCATGCTCTCGTCAAACAGTAAGGCAAATCGGTTCGCCACCTCGACTGTATTAAGTGCGGAAACTGAAAAACGAGAGTTGGATGCGTGCTTCGGGAATACCTCTTTGACGACTTTGGGGACGGCAATCTGTAAGTCAGCAATCACGGCGAAATGGTGTGACGCAAGAGCCATGTTCATGTCCGAATACAACTGACGAACAGTGTCCAACCATGCTCTTTGTACCAATACAAAATCAATCTGCCCAAAATGTGCCGCGGTAAGCTCGTCAACTGCCGAGCTCCCCACGTTGTAAACAGTAGCTTGTCGACAAGCCGGTTGTTCCAGGAACGTGTTAGCAACGACCAGATTATTGGCATGACAAAGTTCCAGCAAAAGGCTGCGGTTTGATTGTGCATCAATGTGTGCTGTTGCCTGTCCGAAAACATATGGACCTAAATATCTGGAATCAGCTTCCTCGTCAAAGATTTTGTGAATGCGGGCGTTGAAATCGCCCACTACATACAAGGGCCCGTGACGAGACTGCTGCGTCAGCCATGTTGCAACATTCTGGAAAAAAGCGTGTCTCACGGCAAAATCTTTGCCGTTGTGAGGAGCACAAATGTTGCAAAGCACCAACTTGCCACCGGGAACCCGGAGTTTGATACGAGCCATACGAGCTGAAGGTTGTTGAAATCCCACCAAGTTGCGGCGAACATGTGGCGATAGCAAAAAACCCACTCTTGCGATCTCAGCGACCTCTGTCTCGGCTTGGCCCGATAAAAGCAACAGAAAACCCGCGTCAGCAATCTGCACGTCTGAATCTTCTCGGTGTGTTTCTTGTAAACAAATAATGTCAATAGCTTGTTGTTGCATGTGCCACTGTAACTCCATGATCTTCGATTGCGTAAGCCCCTCAACGTTCCATGTTGTGATACGAAACTGACCTCCAGAAACTTTCAAGTTGCCCCCTCGGAACTGCTGTGCAGAAAGGTGACTTCGACAAAAACTTCGTGAATTTGATGGGTGTTTCACGTCGACGTGGACACCTGCACTTGCAAACGGAATGCCACCATCCAGTGGCAGTGGCAAACTTGGCGAACACGAGCCCATTACACGAAGTTGACTTGATGTATGTGCCAAGGTGCATAGGGCCCTGCAAAGCACGTAGTTTGTCTGAGAGCCATTGTGTCGCTGCATGCAAAGTTGCAAGATGGCGTAACCCTCCCACGACCATGGTGCAACTTATGTCTGTAAGCGTCGTCGGTGAAGATGAAACCGTGTTGGAGGCATCAACTCGCGACTGGAGCTGATCCAGCTGCTGCTGCTGCATGTGATCCAGTCGGGTATTGGTGGACTTGTTTTGCGTGTTTTCATTGGCCAAGATATTTTGAAGAACGGTCTCTAACTTCTCAAGCCGTGCCCCTTGACCACACACCATTTTATCAAGTTGCTCCAATCGATTGTCGACGCTGCTCTGTACGGTGTTCATCTTCGTCTCAATCGGAGCCAATCCAGCTTGAATTTCCGCTTTGATCACATTCGCTAAGCCCTCCATGGAAACACGGCTATCGGTACTCTGCAACTCGGGTGTCGAACAAGGAGAGCCCTCCGCGGCCCCATCCATTTCATGTAGTGGGGACACGGTTCGTCTCTTACCCACGCGAGCGGGAGGTGTCAGTTCAGACATGGCACACGGAGGAGCTGGGTGAACTGGAGCGATTCAAAGCTGACTAGAGCTGACTGCTTGAGCCAAGATTAAATTCTTGAGCCGGCGCGCCAAAAACGAGGCAATTGGGCAGCCTCGGTCCCAAACCGGCCTCCGACCTCAACAACACCAACAACGCGGCAACGGCGCGCTCTGCCAAGCCCGGAGTACGTAGGCGTTGCGGC